TAATTTTTTATAGGAAAATGTGTGAGTTTTCCAAAACACGTGTGTCGAATACTCTCTCCAAAAAATATAGTTATAAATGACCCCCCCCAAAAAAAATCAGATTTAAAGTTGAAGTAGCTGGTGCACAACTTCATGTCCACCCTAAAGAATAATCAGTGCAAGTTTCTGGGAATTCCGTCAATTTGTTTTCCAGGAGTCGAGGCACTCTGTATTCATAAGCGAATTTAGAGGGTCTAGCTGACAAAGGCTTAGAGCGTTTCTGGCGACAAAATAGGACGATATCATAACAAATTAGACGATACAAAAACGTTTGTATTCATAAGAAAAAATAATATTGCATACTGGACATGTCCTATACTGAATTGGTACTGTTATTCCTGCTTTACTCTGTCTATCACACACTCGTATAAAAACAACAAATCAGCAACGTTATTATATGTTGGCTAATTTACAAAAGGACAAGTTATGAAATGAAAAAGTGAGATTTGTTTGAACCATGGAAGTAAAACTGATTTAAGTATAAAGTTTAGGTTTCAAACTGTTTCTACTCTAAATACCTGATTTGAGTTTGTTGCCAGGGGTATAAATAAATTGAGATCAAGCATATCTTGAATATGATAGCCAATGACCAAACCATATTGGTTTTCCTAAATGGTTTAGTTCGGTGGCTACAAATACAAATAATCATGATTCATTTCTTTAAACTTCTTTACAACAAAGATTGTTTTCACAGTTACATTTCGACTTTAGCCAGGAAGTTACCTCTTATTCCTAAAATAGTACCTCAGAAAGGAATTAACATACAGTGGTTGCTTCTTATTTATCATGTTGTAATGGGATGGGAGAGAGAGAAATTATTTCTTAAACAAGAAAATTATGCCCAACATAGAACAACAGTTTCATTAAGAATCCATGTCAGTTTATCTACATCTTATATTAAAAAGAAATGAGGCGAAGTCATGCATCTTTATAAAACAATTATCTGATCTTTTATTCCAAACATGCATTTAGGTTCACGATTGCATTTCTTTTTTTAAAGAAAGCAACTTGTGTTTACATCTTTAATTCATAAAATTACCGAGTAGGACGTCACAATAAATACAATATGACTTTGGCAGAACGCTATGTATTTGATACAATAATATGCATGTACTATTTGCTGATGGACATTAATCAGTCATTAAACATAAAGGGAGTTCAATGCCAAATATTCGACATTGGAATGGATTAAATCTGGACAAGACTATTTCTTGTTGCTGTGGATACAGTTATTTTGTGGGTAATAATTTTTGTTCAATGGGGACAAAAATATTTCATGGATACCTTTTTGTGGTTTTGGAATAATTTTCAATGCAGCACATAGGAAATTTGTACTTGGTTGAACACCATCCGATACAGTTTCACGTTATATAGTCATTTTTATAATTTTGAAATATGTTGTAGGCCTCAGCGAGTTATAAAAGAAACCCCCAAATAAAACATGGGTCACCGTGCTTGTTTTCGAGAAAATTGAGGCTGAAAATTGGGGATTTTTGCACTTTTGTAAAAAAAGTTAAGCAAAGTTATAAACATTTTGGAGTTGATATTCCTCATCACAAATTGATAAGATTGGATTCAATCTGATGCTGTGATAAGTGAAAATAAGGAAAAAATAAATCCCCACAAGTTTGACTAGTTAATTATTCAAGTCATGCTTAAAATTACGGATAAGATGCTCAAAGTGGGATATTTTATCGCCTGAAAATGTGGAAATCGAGAGGTTCTTATATTGTCGTTTTTCTCATTTTTCTACATTAACTGTCTTTTGTCATGCTTACTCAAAATAGCAAATAAAAAATATATGTCACCGTGTTGGATTCGAAGATAAATCGCGATTCATCCTAAAAATTGTGTCCCCCTTTGGTAACCTCAACGTTAGCGCCAAAATGCACGACGTCGCTGGCTGACAATTTCGAAGTCTCTCGCCAAATTATCTCTGCAAGGCTATCGGCGACATTTTTTAGGTGTATATGTATTACTTATAAAGTGCTACCTTAAAATAGTTATATTGCTTTCGGAAATAAAAACGTGTGTATCATAAATACCTCTCTCTTTTTATTCTATTGATGTCCCAAGTGAGAAACATCTGAAGCATAGTTATTGCGGACTGTTGATTTTTTACGGCTTAATTTAAAGACTTGCGGTAATTTAGAGCTTGACATACCGGTACCGTACACACTTTTGTATTGATTAAAACCATATGATGACCTCTAGATGTTTTTTATTTTTGTTGGTGGGCTGCTGTTTCATTGACATACCCCTAAAACATCCTTTTGTTAACATTTTAATCTCTTATAAGAATTTCACATTTATTCGTAAAATCAAACTGTTAGTCGGGGAAAGATTACAGTTTTAGAAAACTTGGAGGTTCCTACTGTTTTAAGCCAATTTCTAAAGTTCACTTGTATATACATATTTCCATTGGATCACAGCACAAAGGTTACTTACATGAGATCTTTTCCTGCAAACGAAACTTGTCAGAAAACAAAATCAAAGTACTGAAGTACTAAACATCAGATGACCGCAAGTTCTTGTGGATGGTCACAAGCGTTTGTCTCAGAAAAAAAATCACATATCTATACCTTAAAGTGAGGTTAAGGTACATAGATATATTTTTTTCTGAGACAAGTTCGTGCTTGGATGATGAATAAATGACAGGGAATTCAACCTCACCGTAATAACTATTATATTGTAATGATACAAATCAGTAATACTATACTCTGGTTTGTTGTTATATATTATATTAATATTTGTATATAACAGTTACATGTATATATAATTTTCATCCATTTGTATATCATTCTATTCTACTATTCTAATAATAGTGCAGTGCAAGTGCATGGTGGACACTCTTCTGTAATAATTCCGATTTTTCTAATAGATTGGATTTAAGTAGGCATTCATATTTTCCCGCAAAACGTTCTTGAGGTATTCTTCCACATGCGTTAACACAAATTTTCGATATTCTTGATTTGTTATTGATATATATATTTCTCACAACAAAACATTTTCATGTCATTTATCTATGTTCTTAAAAATTATTTTCATGAATATTTGTTGATGAAATTGATATATCACAAGCAATAAGGAATGTTATTTTGCGTTCGCTTATCAGTCAAAAACGAAAGTCATGTGGGTAAAAATGTCTGTGGCAATAATACACCAGAATGCCCTCACGGTCATCCGATGTAAAAAATCTTATATAACAGAATCTTCAATTTGCTAAAGGAGTTTACCGGACAGAGAAACTTAACAATAAATTTGAAATTTTTCATAATTTTTGAGCTTGCAAAAATGAATGAACTAATATCGGAAGACGGGACATGTTACCTATACATCCTCCATAAATTTGGTCTTGGGTTTTGTGTCCTTTTTATTCCTTTCCCAAATTTCAACCTATACCGTTCGAAATTACAATTTAAAAAAAAGTCACTTAAAGCATTTATAATCTGGTAAGTAAACATTCAGAAGTAACATATAATGTTGTAGAAACCTCAAAGTATAGCTGTGATGATTTTTGCATAGATATAAAAACCTTGAAAAAGGCCATCAGTGTGTAATAAATTTTATTTATACAAGGGATTTCAATGATTAAAACTGGGTATTTGGGCTACCTGAACTTTCGATATGAGATTTTATAAAGATCATTGACACAAATTGATATTGACTTTGCTTTTCTGTGCTGTCATAAAATGCAGAAAATCAGATCCAAATCAAAATTCGATCAGTAATGATGAATGATAATAAAGATAAATAACGGGATGTGTCCATGGGACACAGATATTGCCCCTGCTGACATGTCATATAAATTTATAATGGGACAAAACTGAAGAACGTTTAAAGTGACGCTACCCAAATTTGTACTTGATCTGAGTTTTGAGGTAATACATATTGTGTATATAAGTTTCATAACACTTGGTTGAGGCAAACTTAAGTTGGAGAACAGAAACGAAAAATTCAGCAATTTTACGTACAGATGGACAAGGGTAAAACTTAATGCCCCCTCTGCTACAGCGGGGGCTTAATGATAATTGACATGCATTATATTAGAAACACCAAAAGGGTCAGTCATCTTGAGATTCTTCACTACGATATTTTGTTGAAGATATCACAGAAGCCTCAAACGAGGAACAGCAGAAACAGTAATAAGTGTTTAATTTTCTATGATTTTATTAGACTTTTATCTCGTTAGAATTAAATACACTAATCTTAAGGGCGTAAAAGTTAAATTAGAGAAACACAAATTGGAGCATCGATTTTACAAAATATCGTTCTTATTACGGAAAATTACACGACTGACGTCCCACAGAAAGTGACGTTTTGCAGCAATTCGAACGCTTAACGTCCCGCCAAGAGTTAACTCCCTTGAAACTGTATCGGATGCCCTTAAATTTGTAGTTTATCTACAGACACAAATCCCCACAAAAAATAATGAACTTACAGTATTTCGATTTTACCAATATAGCTTATTTCAATATGTTCTCATCTTATTTCCTAAATTTGTACTTTTCTCATGTATACACAACCGGTAAAGAGTTTATATACAATCAAAGTGTAGTCACAGAAAATTGGAATTTAATACACATTTTTGCTATGATGTCAATCTTCGATTTTTTTGCAAAATTACTTTACCGGGAAATTGAAGTCACATTAACTTGAAAATGAGTACACATGTTCATTATGATATGGACTTTTAAAATTATCTGCTACTGTTTTGATCTCATTCTCTGTTCACTGATCATTTGAACCAGTACAATCACAGGTTTTAAGTTTTTGGTTGAGGTAGTGTACATGAACTTGTTGTCACATCAACTTGAAACTTAGTACACATGTTCATTATGATGTCAATTATCTAAATTATATGCCAAAATAGGGTTTTGATGCGATTTCAACAGCTAACTTAACATATAAATATGATAGTGCGATGGGAACCTCCTATAATAGAAACCATGACAACGCTGTACATTTTATAGATATTTTTTATTCAAAATCATTGAAATCTGAACAGCCAATGTAGATATATTCTACACTGGATAGATGTATACATGTAGTAATATATACAATCCCAAGAAAAAAACAAGAACATGTATTTATATTTGGCTTTTTTACAATTGTGAAATAATTTACAGTTCAGTATTCTTAATAATTTTTCCCCACAGCACCTTATAACTTAAAATTACCTTAACAAAACAGATATTATAATTAATAATGTAACAAATGAAAATCTTGGTTGATATTTTCTGAATATCAAGAAACGTCTAAAGACACAACCCAACAATACCAATACTGTTTACACTTATGTGATTTAATTTAGCAATTGAAAATATTACATGGAAAAAAAGTTTCACAGAATTATCAACAATTTTTTTTTATAGATATGTCAATTGAGAACTTAACTGACTTAAATAAAATCTAAATAAATGCAGACAGATTTGATGAAAAGTGTCAGTGTAATCTTTGTTAAATAATTTACGGATTACCACAAAATTATTAAAACAAAGTTTCTCCTTCAGAAAAAAATAGAAAAATATTTCAGTAATTTTCTGATCTTGTTGACCAGTTCTGCCACAAGTTTTGAAAGCTCAGAGTTATTGTTAATTGAAGAGCAGATAAACTTTAAAGTACAAAAATGGTACGTTTGAAAAAGACAACATCGCAGTCATTACTATCATATCTCATAGCAACCAAAATGTTTATAATGCAACTTGTATATAGTGTACTTTTTAACAATTGTAAGCATTGTTTATTTTTAAATATAAGTTTTTTTTGTAACTTCCCTATTTGTAGGTTTTCTTTAAATTTGTCAATTCAATTTCAAAACATAGTATGAATACATTTTTAAAATAACTTTCATCCGTGTGTTTTACCTTATTGACCAATCAAGTTTATATGCAAATCAGAATGGAATCATTGAATACATTATCATAAATTCAGACTAAACAATTAAAAAGCAATTCTCTCTTTTCCTTTGAAAGCACATGTGATGATGGGCATATCTTTTTATTTTCTGCATGTATTTAGTGTAGGCTTGCATAATTTATTTGACCTCTCTTGATTATGGAGTACTTAATACTTTTTCAATTGACATACATAATTTGCTTAATTGAATTTTTTTCTCATTATATGCAGTACTTATAGTCCTTTAAACCTTACTGATAAAATAAAGATATTGCAGCTGTACACATCCAAACAAAAATGTGTTTGTAAAGCTGTGAAAATAAAAATAACAAATGGAAGATTTTACAATCCATTCTTAACAATAAAAACTTTATACAAGATATTTTTACAATTGTAATAATCTTTACATCATTAGGACATGGTTATGCATAATTTTTTGGTGGAACTACCTCACACTTGTTTTCTTTTCTATTGCAAGACAACATACTTCACTTAAGATGGCCCACTAGCTTTACAGAATAAATCAATTATATGTTCAACAACTATCTTGAAGATTAAGTGGTATCAAAATCTTAAATATTAATGAATAGAAACAACTTGATTCATGTGACTTGAAATCAAATTCACCTTAAATTAAATCTGCCTGGAAAATTTTTTGTTTCAACATTGCACAATTTTTTGAACTATGTCTTGCTAAAATTAGATGAATGTTCTCTGGTTTATGATGATTGGTAAATTTTTCTTTGATGCCTAAATTGACATCAACCACAGTAATTTTCCAGTCTTTTATCACAATTTAAAATCAGCTACAATTTACAACATTAATGACCACTTAATCCATTTACTGTAACACTGAACTCCATGAACAAAGAATTTTTTTCAACCAAGAAAAACATTACCACAGTAAATACTTTATCTTATCTCTCCATTATTGATCTATTTTGTGCATTTCTATATCAGATTAATTTCATTATCTAAACCCAGTATGAAATTCTGTCAATTACATCTGTTTGAAACTCTTTCAGTTAAAGAAGATTATAATTCTATTAATAAACCAATTAAACAATTAATAAGAAACCAGTCAAAAATTTATCGGTTTTAACACTTTTCAGTCCAGATCTGGGGAAGTTTTATTGTTGCTGCTAGGCGGATGGTCATCTGTGTAGATCTTCAAAGCTTTTTCTTTCCTAGGTGAGTATGTCGTCCTGGCAGTAGTTCTGTTCAACCTTTAAATAAAAATGGCTCCAATTAGTTATGCAAGTATTTCTATAACTTAAACTAACATCCATAACTTAGAGATTAAAGAACAAGAATTAAATTTTCCAGTTTTTGAAATTTACTAGATGAAAATATTAGGCCTATCACATCATTTTTAAACAAAGTTCAGTGCATATATTGAGATATTGCAATTGCATTTTTGCCACCTTTAAGTTGCAACTTAACACTTTAAGTTGCGATTTTTCATCACTTTTTACATATTAATGCTAGTTGATTGTATCTAAATGTAAAGATGCTACTGTTATAATTTTTTTTATATTCAAATGCAGTTTATTGAGTAAAAGTCTGAAATACAGCCTTGTTACAAATTCTTTGCCTTAAAATAAGTCTTATAGAAAGCCATCTACTTTTTTTTTTTGACAAATGTAATGTTTCTGAATATGAAATAAAAGTTATTTGCTAAATGAATAGTACAGATTATGTTTTCCAATGTTTGCATTGACCATCAAGGTCAGTTTACATATTCAAGTGGTTGACAATGTTTCTGATACCATAGTTCACTACACAAAATTAACTTGAATTAGCTGTAGGCAAACTGTATTCTAACAAACCCTATTAGTTATCTGATTAGTGCTTTACCTGAGTACCATGTACAGAAGGTTCAAAGGAGCAGTACTAAATAATTTCTGCCCTAAACAACATTTACCTTGCATTTTCTTTTTGTTGTAGTTCTTTTTTCTGTTCTTCTGACAGTTCCATTGGCTTTTCTGTTTTATCCCTAAAATGCGATTTCTTTAGTTAAAAGGTTTCTAAAAAGATTTCTAAATATTTCACTATAAACATGCAAAGCAAAAATCTTGTCTCTCAATATTCATCTAATTTTATTCCAATTTTTTTTCTAAATCACTTCATGTCTACATGAATAAATCTCCTAATTTATAGATAATCACCAAGAGAAGCTGTAAGACTTCAGGTATTATTTTTGGACAATTCAAAAGTAAAACATTTAAAACTCAAAATAAATGAAATATGTTTTGAAAAATGCCTGGCTTAAAGAGTTTACATAGAAATGAACATTTTTTTATTGTTGATTCGCTGTATAGCCAAATATAAAATAATCAAAAAGGGTGACAGCATTTTTATTTTTGATAACAAAAATATCTATAAATGCCTATTTTTGTGATTTGGTAAAAACAAGAATGTGTCCATAGTACACGGATGCCCCACTCGCACTATCATTTTCTATGTTCAGTGGACCGTGCAATTGGGGTCAAAACTCTAATTTGGCATTAAAATTAGAAAGATCATATCATAGGGAACATGTGTACTAAGTTTCAAGTTGATTGGACTTCAACTTCATCAAAAACCACCTTGACCAAAAACTTTAACCTGAAGCAGGACAGACTGAAGAACAAACAGTTGGACAGACGGACGAACAGACGCACAGACCAAAAAACATAATGCCCCTAGGTGGGGCATAAAAAATAAATTATTTTTCCATTTGTTACACAGTAGTTGAAATTTGATGAAACCGATTTTCCATTTATTATTTCTACTTGAACTTGGCTCTGGTGAAAAAGGTAAAAATGATATTTCAATCTGTGAGTTTGACTGTCCCTCTGGTATCTTTCGTCCCTCTTTTAAGAGCAACTCGAACAATTCGATTTAAGGATGTTCGCTACTCTGTTTCAAAATAACAAGCTTTTTAAAAGACTGTTATAAATTGATAGTATATAAATGAAGGAATTTAGAAAGCAGAAAAAAATAAAGGGTCCGTGTGTTTGTTTTCAAGATATAAGCCATTGAAAATTTGGCGGGAAATGATTCTCTCTAGATTTTTCATAATTTAACATTGGCATCTCATTTTCTTTCAAAAACAATGAAAAATTTACAAGGATTTTATAAGGTTCTCAAATATGGCTTTTTAAACTATATGCAATGAAAGAACCTTAGTGAGCGCGCTCACATAACCCACGTCCCCACATTGTCCTTGGAGAAATAAAATAAGTGTAAGAAAAAAAAATTGAATCATAATTTCCTGTCAATATGCACATCTACATAGTATGTCCTTATTATCTACACAGTTTCATGAAATTCTGTTGTGTGGTTTGAGAGGAGTTGCGATGACAAAAGGTTGCAGTAGTATATTGGGCAAATAAGTTCAAAGGGGCATAACTCCTGGAAAAAAAATTGAATCGTAATTTCCTGTCGATATGCACATCTACGTAGTATGTCCTTATTATCTGAAAAGGTTTCATGAAATTCTGTTGTGTGGTTTGAGAGGAGTTGCGATGACAAACTGTTGCAGTAGTACATTAAAGTAAATAAGTTCAAAGGGGCATAACTCCTGGAAAAAAAATTGAATCGTAATTTCCTGTCGATATGCACATCTACGTAGTATGTCCTAATTATCTGAAAAGGTTTCATGAAATTCTGTTGTGTGGTTTGAGAGGAGTTGAGATGACAAACTGTTGCAGTAGTACATTAAAGTAAATAAGTTCAAAGGGGCGTAACTCCTGGAAAAAAAATTGAATCGTAATTTCCTGTCGATATGCACATCTACGTAGTATGTCCTTATTATCTGAAAAGGTTTCATGAAATTCTGTTGTGTGGTTTGAGAGGAGTTGTGATGACAAACTGTTGCAGTAGTACATTAAAGTAAATAAGTTCAAAGGGGCGTAACTCCTGGAAAAAAAATTGAATCGTAATTTCCTGTCGATATGCACATCTACGTAGTATGTCCTTATTATCTGAAAAGGTTTCATGAAATTCTGTTGTGTGGTTTGAGAGGAGTTGTGATGACAAACTGTTGCAGTAGTACATTAAAGTAAATAAGTTCAAAGGGTCGAAACTTCTAGAAAAAGAATTGAACCGTAATTTCCTGTCGATATGCACAACTACATAGTATGTCCTTATTATCTAAAAAGGTTTCGTGAAATTCTGTTGTGTGGTTTGAGAGGAGTTGCGATGACAAGAAACAGAACTGACGGACAGACGGACGGACAGACGGACGGGTCAAAAACATTATACCCTCCGCAACTTGTTGCGTGGGGTATAATAAAATTATGAAAAGAAAAGTAGGGTTATCGGGCAAATTTTTTAATGGCAGTACATGGATAAAACCAGAGGATTCCGAATATCCGGCAAAAAATCAAAAACAAGACGAGCGAACATCCTTAAACTCTATTAACTTGAGTTAATCAAATTGTAGTCCACTGTAGATTACTATTTTAGAGAGTCTTTGCTATAACTAGTTCTAACGGCTCATATTTTCTTCTTATAATTTGACATATGATTGCCACTTTATTTTAAAAGAAGCTATAATCTTTTTTCTTTTTTTTTCCCTGCAGACCCAAATGACCTATAAAAATAAGTCCACTATAAATAAGATGTGGTATGAGTGCCATCCAAGTCATTATGTATAAAAAGTTAACAATTACAGGTCAAAGTACAACCTTCAACATGGAGTCTTGGCTCACACCAAACAGCAACCTATAAAGGGCTTCAAAATGACTAGTGTAAAACAATTCAAACAGGAAAACCAACGGTCTAATCTATATAAAAAACGAGAAACAAGAAATACCTATGAACCACACGAACAAACTACAACCACTGAACAACAGGCTCCAAACTTACTTGTAAAACAGAACACTTCCATCATCACAGATATATAGAGGCCATGTATTTAAAGTTGTGGCATGTGGACTCCAGTCTAAGTCTGTATTCATCTCCAGTAGAGAGACATCACAAGGAAAGTTGCCACGCCCCTAAAGAACAAAACATAATTGGTGAAGCTATAGACAAAGATTATGATTCAAGTTGCTGTGACACTAGTACATAGAACAAAACATTAAGCTCTAGACAAGATTGTGGATCATTTATACATGACACTGACATGAAATAGATTATTCTTTTTATAAAATAGATGGGCTTGCTTTGTATTTATCCAAAGCTAATTGACCCATTTACTGACATTTCTAGTTATCCATTCATTAGAAACACTCCATGAACATGTGATGGAAAATTAAAAAAACAGAGGCTCTTTTCACAAAAAATCTTTAGTTTAACTTACGATCAATTTTAATCGTAAGATGTTTTGTGAAAAGTCTCGCTAATGGATGATAACAAAATAAAATTTTAAAGCTTCTTTAGAGTTTATCAGCTATATCAGTATGTGTAAAGAGCTGTAATCACACAGCCCTCTTATTAAACTAATTGTTACAACTTTGTAATAAGCATGTTATATTTTGATAAACATAGTAAAATGCATACCTTGGCATAGTCAATATTTTCTTCTGGAATTTCACTAACTTCTGAAATCTGAAACAGAGAAAATCAATAATTCAGACGGCTTCCACAATGATCCTCCAGAAACTGTTATCTTCTAACTGCTTCTGAATGGCTCTATGTTATCTATTAATTGCATTATCTTATACAAAACAAGTCAATATACAACCTCATCATGCTGAATAAGCGACCATTCTAATGACAGTTCAATGTGTTTCAATTTCAATCAGCTGTTGTTCCAGGCAATTAATAACCTTTCTGCTACAATGGTAATCGTTTCACTGACAAATAATATTTGATGTTAAAGATTTTGACTTTCTTTTAATAAAAGAACAGAGTTCCAATGTCCCCCACGTTACACATATTTTATCTATCCAAGGTTCAAGTGCAATAACTAAAATAAAATGCTTCGCTGGGGCGCAGCTTGATACGACCGCAGAGGTCGAACCCTGAACAGTTGGGGCAAGTATGGACACAAAATTCAAGCTTGATACAGCTATGACTTTGGATTGTCATTAAATATTTGACACAGCATAGGTTTCTGACACAGGATGAATGTGGTGTAAGAACTGGAAAAAAATTAATTTACCTATTATGGTGGAATATCCATAAACTAAATTGTTTGTTAATTTCAATATATCAAAGAATATGTAGAATTCAATGTTTGATGTAATGTAATAAAGTTGAAATTTGGACTGTTTTTGTTCAATGTGGACCAATTTGGTAACATGTATAAATAATCAAAAATCTAAATACATGGGAGCCCATTTAAATACATCATAAAGGTATTAAAATAGAAAGTGACATCATAGTCATGGCTAAAAATAAACAAAAATCCTTAATCAGCAACATTTAAAGTAATATCTAAAAATAAAATTCCTTTGTAACCATAAAAGCCCATTTAAATACATCATAAAGATATTAAAATAGAAAATGACATCATAGTCATGGCTAAACATAGCAAACAACCCTTAATCAGCATCATTTAACAGTAATATCTAAAAATGGAAATTACATCATAAAGGTATTAAAATAGAAAATGACATCATAGTCATGGCTAAAAATAAACAAAATCCTTAATCAGCATCAGCAACATTTTATAGTAATATCTAAAAATAAAATTCCTTTGTAACCATAAAAGCCCATTTAAATACATCATAACAGATATTAAAATAGAAAATGACATCATAGTCATGGCTAAACATAGCAAAAACCTTAATCAGCATCATTTAACAGTAATATCTAAAAATAAAAATTTCTTTGCAACCATAAAAGTAAAATAGAAAATGACATCATAATCATAGCTAAAAATAAACAAAAATTTTTTTATTGGCAAATTTTAAATGGAGTTTATTATACTAAAACAATAAATTTGCAACCATAAACATGATAAAACCCCATTTAAACACATCATAAAAGTATTAAATAATTCAACTACATCATAAGACTATAAAAATAGAAAATGACTTCATAGTCAAGGCTAAAGGTAAACAAAAAACCTTCATCAGCAAAATTTTATATTGGCAAATTTCCAATGAAGTTTATTACACTAAAATTGTTGGCAAATTTCCAATGCATTTATTAACAATAAAGTTATTGGCAAATTTCCAATTTACATAATTTAAAAGCAGTGTAGATGAGATATTTAAATGAGTTTGAATTACCAACCTTACACTGCTTTTAAATAATGTTCTTTACTCAATTATTTGTCTATTAAAATGGAAACCCTTGTTTTTTAACCTTTTTTCCCCTTATTCCTTAAACATTAGAGCCATAACCACCCACCCCCCCCCCCCACCAAAGCCAATTATTACTTTCCAATGTAACCTAAATTTCCAATATACATAATTTTAAATTTCAATTCCTCATGATATATAACCGTATCATTATTATTTTCTTTCATATATAAATCTGAAACAACCATCTTTAAATGGAAAATTTTAAAGAAAAAAAAAGGAAAAAAAAAAATCCTACCTCCCACACATTTTTTCAACCCCCTTTTGATTCATCATCCCCCACCTCAATCACAACCTTCAATTTGTGGTATGGTACATTGCAATACAATTTCACAGAGATCCATACACTTGAACACAAGTTTTTGTTGCAAACTAAAAAAATCCTTATTTTTGACCAATATTTGGCCCCTTATTCATAAATGTTTGAGCAATTAACCCCAAAACTCAATTCCTACTTTCTCTTCGTGATAAAAAATAACTAACTTAAAATGTAAATTTTAAACAAAAATAAAAGGAAAAAAAAAAATTACCCCTTTTTTGACCCCGGCCCCCCTTATGATTCATCACCCCCACCCCCCTTTCCCCCCAAACCAAGCTCAATAACAGCCTTGCCTTTGTGGTATGGTACCTTGTAATACAATTTTAGAGAGATCCATACACTTGAACACAAGTTATTGTCTAGAAACTAAAAAATGCTTATTTTAAACCCCTTTTTAGGCCCCTTATTACTAAACGTTTTGGGCAATTACCACAACACTCAATTCCAGCTTTCCCTTTGTGAAATGGAACCTTGTAGTAAAATTTCAGAAAGATCCATACACTTACACACAAGTTATAGTCATGAAACTAGAAAAATGCTTGTTTTTTGCCCCCTTTTGGCCCCTTATTCCTAAAATTTTGTGGCAATTAACCCCAAAATCAATCCCAGCATTGACCCTTTGTGATATGGAATCTTGTGGTACAATGTCAGAGAGATCCATATGCTAACACACAAGTTATGTCTGGAAGTTACAAAAATGCTTATTTTCTGCCACTTTTTGGCCCCTTATTCCTTAACTGTTGGTACCATAACCCCCAAAATCAATCCCCACCTTCCTATTGTGGTATTGAACCTTATGGTAAAATTTCATAGAGATCCATTCACTTAAACTAAAGTTAGAGTGCGAAAACCATTGTGTATTCGGACGACGACGCCGGACGACGACGACGGACGACGACGACGACGACGACGACGACGACGCCAACGTCATACCAATATACGACCTCAAAATTTTTTTGCGGTCGTATAAAAAGCACTCTGTTTTGTGCTATAAGACTTTTTATTAATATCTAAGAGAAATGAAGGCTTCAGAGCAAATGCAATGTGATTTCCATTATAATTAACATTTCGAAGGGGCATATCTCGTTAAAAATAATTAATTAGAACTTCTTTTCGCAAGTGTCAATAAATTGCTTCGCTGAGCGCAGCTGTATACGACCACAGATGTCTAACCCTGAAAAGTTAGGGCCAAAATGGACACAATATTCATGCTTGATACAGGTCTGAATTTGGATTGTAATTAAATTTTGACACATAATAGGTTTCTGACACAGAATAACTGCAGTCAAAGAACTTCAAATTGGTTATATGATTTGAATTTATATTCAATTTTTTGCTTTTGTGCAAAACACTATGCGAATTGACCCCCCCCCCCCCCCCCCAAAAAAAAAATTTTACCCCGTTTTTTTGCGTTTGTGCAATACACTATGCTGTTGAATATTAACCCCCCAAAAAAAAAATATTTGAAGAAATTTCCTATTAATTTCTGAAATCTGAAATGAGAAAAATTGTCCCCCTCCAATTTTTTTCACCTCCCCCCTTTCCCTTATTCCAAAAAATAATTCTTTCCCTCAAGTTATGGTCAGTATCTCAGAAAATCATCATTTCTTAATACATAATTTACAAGCAGTGTAAGGGAGGTAATCAAACATTGTTATTTAAATTGATTTGGATTTTGATTTTGATTACCTCCCTTACACTGCTTTTAAATTGTCTCAATTGTCCTTTAACCAGAAAAACCCTGGTTTTTCCCCTTTTTTTACCCCTAATTCCTAAATGGTTTCAGCCATAACCCCCCAATGTCAATCCTAACCATCCCTTTGTAGTATGGAAACTTGTGGTATAATTTCAGAGAGATTCATACACTTTAACACAAGTTATTGTCTGGAAACTACAAAAATGCTTATTTGGGCCCCTTTTTTGGCCCTAATTCCTAAACAGTTGGGCCCATAACCCCTAAAATCAATCCCAACCTTCCTTTAGTGGTTATAAACCTTGTGTTAAAATTTTATTGATTTCTATTTACTTATACTAAAGTTATTATCCAGAAACTATCTCTCTTCGGATGACGCTGACGACAACGACAACGTGATACCAATATACGACCAAAAAATTTTTAATTTTTGCGGTCGTATAAAAACGTTTCTGATTTAAGTTTCATGAAATTCTGGCGGAGAACTGAACAAATGAGAGCTCTAGCAATGCAATTCTCCATATAATTATTGTTTCAAAGGGGCATAACTCTTTCAAATATAATTGGTCGGCACTGAATTTCGAACTCGTCCAAGACATTGCTGATATAAATCTATGATATAAGTTTCATAAAAATCTGGCAAGAATTGTACATGCAAGAGCGCTAACAAGACCTGACGGACGCCTAGTATTTCTATGTCCCCCGCAACGCATTGCTCAAGGGACAAAAAATATGTGAATTTCAATTTGAATTTAAAGAGTGAACATACTGATATGTCTCTCCTGCTTTACTGACCACATACAATTGAATTTCTGTTGAAAGTCTTTAAGATAAAGGTTTTACAACAAGTATAAAACATAAATCTAACGTTATTAAAAATCCATGAAAATAAGGCCAAGGTCAGTTGAATGGTGCCAGAGCATTTACACTTTGTAATTATTCCATTCACGAAATATAGTCACTAATCATTGATATATTTGTTTTCTTTTTCTTTTTGTTAAATTCAATTTTTTTTTTAATGGTGGAAGTTCTATATCTAAGACACACTGAAAATTCCTCAAAGCATTTTTTCTAATGAAATAAATCTGTATCACCAATACAGATATTCTATGATTTATTATATTATATTATATGTACCTTTGACTTGAGTTCCTCGACTGTTTGTTGGGTTAAGAATATCTCCTTGAAATTTTCTAGTTCTACTGTTGCTGGGTGCCATTGTCGTACAAAGATGGCTAACTGGGATGATGATATCATCTGCTCTTCATCTATACAAAAATAGAACTAGACATGTGACTATTATGTATAACAATACATGTATATATGTATTCAGTGAACAGGAAGTTGATGAGTGCTGAATCTGAAAATGCATCACAGTTAGGCAAGCTTACATTAAGCTTGATAATAAATTTCAGGAAGCTCTAATTTGTAGTTCTTGTGAAAAACAAACAATGAAAATTTCATACATGGCATTTATATGGAAGAATATATAAGTAATCTGTTAACAGGAGTTTGATAATCAATAAATGCTTAAACACATCACACAGTACAGCATACTGATTACATGAAGCTAACTACCAATTTTTAGGAAGATCTAATAAATAGTTCCTGAGAAAAATGAGATCAAAATTTCATTGGACTGAAAGACTGAGGTTATGCAGTATACCAACCCTATTTTGGAACTGGGTATCATAATATAATTTGTATGTATATAAATTAATAAATATTGTTAGATTATTTACCATCAAGTTTCTGTAAAAATATTTCCCAGTTGGCAAAAATAGGTACATCATCTTCATATACTTGGTTGTCAAGGTAAATAGAACCTGGATTCTTCCATGTTTTCTTCCGTAATCGGCATCTAAACAATATAGAAAATCAACTACAATAACATAACTTTGAAGAACATCAATTCATTATCTTTGTTATACACTATATTTTTAACCATAATTTTATCACAATTTACATTTATATATAGATAATAACAAAACTAAAATTTGAAGCTTCTATTATGTTTATCATCTTCAAGTATGTGTACAGAACTGTAATCAAACAACCCTCTTTTTTTTCTATTTTCTATACAACACTAATCCATACTAAAATATTAGAAAATACATTTAAAGTTATATAAAGTGCTTTCATATTAATCTTTAAAATCACTTCATGAATACCTCCCTATTAAAATTATACCATTTCAACACAAATTTAACTATGAACAAATTAATTTCATATATTTTATCACGTAGTACATATGTAGTAATACTTTTATGTTCCATACCTATGTACAGGAATGTCAAGGCCACATTGTTCCTTAATCTCTGGAATTATCAGTTTCTTTGACTCTAACACTGTCATTCCTTTGGCAAATATTGTATCAATAAGAAACTTGCTAGGCTGCAATGAAAAAGTGATCAGCTGGTTGTAATAATTGAAATTTAACCATTGGTAATCTATCAAATATTATCTTTATTTCATTTAAATAATCCATTGGTCCTTTGAACCAAGAATTTAGAACATATTATGTACCAATATTGAATTTCATAAGCTAGATTTAGACAATTCAAATGTTGTTTGAAGACATAAGCCAGAGCATACTAGTAGTAAAACAATAATTCAAACTCAAAATTGTACAATGCTACTTTTGAAATCAATAAGTTTCCTTTAACTTCAAAATAATAACATAATAAGACTGAATTCCTTGCATTCTAATTTATTTATTGAGATCTTGTTAACTCTATTTTGAGGGTTTGTTTACAACATACTGAAAAACATAGGTTCTGATGATATAAAGGAGTTAAAATAACCTGATCTCCTTATGCACCCACTTTTTAATCATTTGTTGTATAATAGGTTATTGTAGAATAAGCATGGCATATTTGTAACTTAGTATTCAGCATGCAGCCAACCAATAAATGAACACTACTACCTTACCTATATAAACTTGATACTGAGTAAGCAAAGATCAATTAATTAATATATGGTCCATAAGTCAGACAATACCTATGGCAAATTTTGATACAATGCAAACTGTTTCACAATGATAAAGGAAAATTCAACAAAAGTAACTAAATATTTTTCATACCTCTGCTTCATTGATATCAAGTTGGAACACTTTGACTCTGTATTCTCCCTGTTTTAAAGCTCTCCCTAACTTAATATTTAGCTGAAAATAATAAAACATTCATTAAACTAACTTAAAACAAACCTCATACTTCATTACTCAAGTCTGCAATTAATATAACAAAATGAGGTAAAACAAAACTGTGTTAAGGATGTTTGCTACTCTTGTTTCAAAATAACAAGCTTTTTAAAATACTGTTATATATTGATAGCATATTAATAAAGGAACTAAAAAAGCAGAAAAAGAGGAGGGGTGTACTTGTTTTTGAGATATAAGCCATAGAAAATTTGGCGGGAAATAATTCTCTCTAGACTTTTCATACATTTAACATTGGCACCCTTTTTCTTTTAAAAAATATGAAAAAATAACAAGGATCTTATAGGATTTTCAAATATTGCTTTTTAAACTATATGTAATAAAATTATGAAAAGAAAAGTAGGGGTTAGTGGGGAAAATTTTTTAATGGCACTACATGGATAAAACCAGAGGATTCCGAATATCTGGCAAAAAATCAAAAACAAGAGGAGCTAACATCCTTAACAGGTCAAAGAAATCAAATGAAATTGATATTTTAATAACATTTAAGTTTCTACTATTCTTACAAATATAAATGTTGTTAACAAAATTGCATTTCATATAAATTCCTAATAAAGTGGCAGGTGCCTTCGACTTTAACAATGTTTAATCTTTATAATTGACTGATTGTCAGTTTTTGCTGCAGAAGGTCAGGGGTTTTTCTCCAGACTCTTTGGCATCCTTCCATCAATAAAAACTGGTCTCAACGAAATAGCCAACAATGCAGAAAGTGGCGTTAAACACCAAAATTCAATCAACAATAACTTCCTGCTTTCAAACAAGCCATTATGTTACTTTATTCGTCTAGAAATTAATCAAACATCTTTGCCAATACTTAAAGTATTTCTCATTTTAAGACCATGGTAGTGTGCTCTCCTCGAGTGTGGAAGGTTGTGGAGTTTGAAAATTTGTGCTAAGCAAAAGGTATTTAGAATTATTAGCAAAGATTTGTCTCGTTCAGTCAGAATAATGTGTCTTGGAAGGCTGATATGTCTTTTGGCAAATTCGTACAATGTGAACAAGCATGTTAACAATCGGTAATATGTCAGTCTCGTACAAAGCAGGGTTCATATTTATATTTATATCACATTCACATGTTCTTATCTTGATATGCATATAATATATGAGACTAGACATTAAACATCAATCCATCATTAACAACATAAAACTTCAAGAGCACTTAACAGTGACAACAGATGTCCAGTTTGAGTCGTTGTGCAACTCTCTACTTAATGTTTTCCACCTGAATCTCCATGAAATATTTGCAACAGGATGAAAAGCAAGCAATAATCAATCAATCTCATTTGTCTTTTCCTGAACATCTTTTTTCCTGGACAATAATCAAATGTTGCTTACTTTAGTCTTTCCTAATTTTTATCTGGACAGGAACCTGGTTGTCGTTTGTTGATGTGGTTCATAAGTATTTCTCGTTTCTCATTTTTTATATAGATTAGACCGTTGGTTTTCCTGTTTGAATGGTTTATCACTAGTCATTTTTGGGGCCCTTTATAGCTTGCTGTTCGGTGTGAGCCAAGTCTCCGTGTTGAAGGCTGTACTTTGACCTAAAATGGTTTACTATTACAAATTGTGATCTTGCATGGAGAGTTGTCTCATTGGCACTCATACCACATCTTCTTATTTCTAGATACTAACTGTTCATAATATTACTTTTTATTGGTATTAGAGAAAGAATTTTTACTGTCAGTGGGACATAAAGTTGTTTTTCATGGTATTATTCTTTTAATTTTTGAAGACCACATTATACTTACTTTTCCATCTTCAAAGAAAGACAAGGTTTCTGACAGCCGGATACTTTCAAATTCTTGATTTTTTGTGTAAACTCTATACACCTACAATAAACACATATATTAAGATTATAACAGAGTCAAATGAATATTAAAATAAAGTAATATAAATATATTAATAAATATTTAGATTGATAGACTGAAATAGATGTATGTTTACTTATTTTTCTCAATATGTCTTTTTGATTGAGTTAAGCCATTTCAATTGATATTTTATAGTGTGTCTTTTTATGTTGTAATGTTACACTACTATTTCAAGTTAGGGTGAAGGTTGGCACCTGTTTAAACGTTTAAACCCGCTGCACTTGGTTGCACCTGTCCTAAGTCAGGAACCAGTTTCAGAGATTGTCGTTTGTTGTTGTGGTTCTTAAGCGTTTCTCGTTTTTTATATAGATTAGACCATTGGTTTTCCTGTTTGAATTGTTTTACACTAGTCATTTTTTGGGCCCTTTATAGGTTGCTGTTCGGTGTGAGCCAAGGCTCCGTGTTGAATGCCGTACTTTGACCTATAATTGTTTACTTTTTACACATTGTGACTTTAACTTTAATGGAGAGTTGTAACATTGGCACTCATACCACATCTCCTTATTTCTAATCTATGTTTTTCTAAATGCTATAATTAGGCATTTTTTCATAGCCTGTTCGTTAAAGAGCTATACCTTAAAAAGACGAAATAATGTATAAATGCTTTTTTTTTAAAATTCATAGGTTTTGAAAGGGAAAGGTGTGGTAAGGGTCTTATTTGACCCAAATATCAAGTCAATTATTTCAAGATGAAAAGTGTTTCAAGTTGATGAATGAACATATGAGAAATAAAACTAGAACAATTTTTGTGCCGAATAGAGGTTTAAATGGTTTAGGTGAAATATGACAAAATATTCTGGATTTCAACCAAATAGAGGCATAAATAACATAGCATGCAGGTTTAAACAAACTAAACATTTAGTCAGATATGTTATTTGTTATAAAAAACATAACATTACAAGATTTTTTGTCAGCATGTGCACTTTAAATTTCCAATCCATAAAACCTATCATTGGCCTGTTTTCCTTGAGTTTGTTGTAAAATTTAAATTGAAGTAATTGTGACTTCCTAAACAAAGAGAACATTATCTATCCAAAAATAGACATATTTTCTATCTAGTCATTTGTTTTTACTGTGATTCTTTGTGATAATACCCATTAAATTCTAATTTTAGCTTAAAATAGGTTCCATTTTTGGACCTTATCAAACCTTATCCCCTTGACACCTTTTTAAGTGATATTAAAGGGACCATATTTTTACAATATTAGGTCAATGTCAGAAAAATTGCATTTTTTTTGTATGAGGCTAAGAAACTGGGGAAGGGTGAGGTTTATCGAGCCCTTCAACTATTTCTTTGTTTATTATTCAACAGTTTACATATTTCTTTGTTCATTTGTAAAGGTTCATATATTTTTAAACAAATTTGAGTTGATTTTGATTTTTGGTGTTTTAACGCCACTTTTAAGCACCGCTTTTGGGCTATTTCGTGGCGGCCAGTTTTTATTGGTGGAGGAAGCCGGAGTGCCCGGAGAAAACCACGACCTTCGATAGGAAAACTGACAATCCTAGTCAATTAAGATTGGAGTCAAGTGCACCCGCATGAGCGGGGTTCGAACTCACAACCTCAGTGTTGACTGGCTAGTGATTACAGTAGTAACTACTTAGACCACTTGGCCACCGAGGCCCCTAAACAAATTTGCAAAGATAACCACTTCAGGCTAGTGACTGAGTGTTTTTAATGAAATTTAAATGGGAATATGTACTTACAACAGCATGAACAGTGATGTTAAACTTCATATAAATATGAATTCAATTCACTACTTAATTATTTATTTAAGGGTCTTCCAATGAAGCTGTGTGTGGCCCACGAAATAATATAAGCAGAAATGGGTTGGTCCATGCTTTGGTATGGGAAACCCCCAAAATCACTCAAATCCAAAATTAAAATAGCAGGTGAAAGCTTTCTTAAGGAGTAAAGATTAACAAACTGGTGATGAGTATGGTATGGGAAACTCCCCAAAAAGGCAAAAACACAAAGATCTTAAATTGAACTAGAAGGTGCACAACTTCGTGTCCTGAAGAAGTAACTATACAAGTTCGGTTGAATTATGTCCAGCAGTTTTAAAGAAGTAGCAGATTAAAATAAAGCGAGATGCAGACATTGAAGCAAGACAACAGTAACGATTGTTACATGCCCTACGTGTCTACCTACAGCTGGTTGCTGTCAAACGACACAATAATAAGGATTGCTAAATCTTCTAATTCTTCAGATGATTAATTACCTTAAAGTTTTCAGAATCTGTACCAATAAAAGGTTCCAGCTCTGCCTTGAAAGCTCCAAGTGTTATCCTCTTATCTACTAAGATTGTTAAAGCTGAAAAATAAAAAATGTGAAGATTGAAGAGAAATATTGCATGTTAATTCATGACATGTTTTAAAATATGACATGAAACTTGCTTCATCCTAGACAAACATGAACCAGATCTTTACTGTCTAAGCTCAAGAGATAACAGTCCATCGGAAGACATATAAATCAAGTCGGACACATTATTGTGCCTAATAATTTTTTTAATTAATGGCTTATTGTGTATTTTACATTTTTTAACATTAAACTGTCTCAAGTAGAGAAATATCATATCGCATGAGATGCAGTGGAAATGTTAATCATTTTTAGATGATAATAAGTTTGTAAAAACATAATCTATTCATATGTTATAATTGGGCTAGCTTTCAGAAACTGTTTATACTCTAAGATGTGTCTTTTGTTAGTTGTGTTTGTGCTTAGTAATGGCCTTTTGAGTCAAGCCCTTTTTAACTAAATTTTACAAGTAGTTCTTATGTTGTGCTGTTACACCACTGTCCCAGATTAGGTGGACGATTGAGTGCTGACAAACATGTTTAACCCAGCCACCCTTTTATGTGCCTGACCAATGACAGGAACCTGGAGTCAATTTTTTGTCATTGTTTGCAATTAAATCAGTAGTTTTCTCGTTAGAATTATTTCACATTTTGTTTTCCCAGACCGTTTAAAGTTTCCCTATACGGTAAGGGTTCTACTAAATGATTAAGGCAGTACAGTAACTTTTTCACATTTTTTTTTGGCAAGCTTAAAACCAACAGATACCTGGATTCAAGGCTGTAATATGCAAAATTTATACAATTTTTTAACAAAACAGGTTATAAGACTTACATCTTTGTTTTGTTACAATATCCTCGTCCTTATTCACCATACTAAAATAATGTTTAAATGGTTCTTCATGAACTATTGTCACTTCGTCATTGTCCCAATTTTCACTTTCATTTTTATTATTGGTGTCCAAATTTTCACTTTCATTTTTATTCTCCATGTCCCAATTTTCACTACCTTCTTTACTTGAATGAGTATCCATATCATTAATCCCCCTGTCACCAGGAGAAGGGGGTGCTGTCTGTTCAGAGTCGCTATCACAGTGTTCAACGGGTTCTCGTATAACATCCTCAACATTATAATTATCTCCCCCTGATTCAGCACTACAATTAGTATTTAGACTAAATTCAGCACTAGTACTGGTTTCCTGACTACTACTACAACTTTGCCCAACAGGGCTACTTGTCCGTCCCTCGGAACCAGTCTCTGTTGGACTGGTACACTGTCCTAAAGAAGGATCACTATGTGAATTATTCAACGTCACAGATTTTAATTTGGAGTCCAACTCACTATCACTTCCTCTATCACTTATTCCTTCATCAACGTCTAATGAATTACTGTCTTGTGTAGATTTTACACTAGAACACATATCTTCTAAAAGTTTATTGTGACGGTAACTAGATTTCATATATTCATTAACTTCATCTGAAAAACAAACATCAATTTTATATTACGATTCAAAACAAAACAAAACAGAAGTTTAGCTTGAGAAAAACATAATTTAAATTTGATATCATTTAAAATAATTCAGTTATAAAATACCTTCATGTTTTCGACAAATCAAATTGGAAAGCTGCACCATTTAAAAATCAGGCATTTAATTACTGTTTCTATCGTAGTAAAAAAGCAAGAAAAGACTTCAATGGGGTAATCAAAAAGAAAAACGATGCCAAGACAAAGAACTCCACAAAATACTTCAGAGAAAAAACTAAAGCTTGGGCAACATGAACCCAATCAAACACCATGGGTGAACTTAGGTGCTCCAATAGGGTCAGCAATTCCTACTCCATAGTGACATCTATACGTGTTTCTCTTGTTAAAATATACTGATGAGTCATGTAAGGTGATTTCACATCACATCATAGCAGGTTAGTAAATGTCTCTTTATCTAATCCTAAGACATCACCATATTCAATAACCATCATGACCATTGATCATGTAAACTCTCTAACCCTAAAGCTTGATCAAATTTGAAAGTTTGAAATAAAAACAGGGTTTTCCAGGTCTAGGATAGACAGAATTTGCAAATCTTTGACAACTTACCTACAGAAGGTATATTTACATATATACGTATTGTATTTTGATGTCGATCTAACAGTTTATAAAATCTGCTACATTGAAATTGTCCACTTTCTACACCCTCTAAACCGGAGAATTCTATGTAAACCTAAAATGTTAATTGTATAAATCAAATATATATTTATTTATACAATAGTTTAATAATTCATTTCTACAAGTACATCTATATTGTTAACAACAAAAACTCATCATGTGTTAGCTAATTTTCTTGTACAAGGTCAATTCTAATTGGATTGTACCAAATGTTTTTTTTAAATTGTTCAAGTGAATAACTTTGATTCAGATAAATTTATCTTAGATTTTCGTTTACCTATGTCTGAGAAATTTCATTTTACATAATAAAATTTTAAAAGAGCATACATAAAAATCAGTTTGGAATTAACCATTTGCAATAATTTTTATCAATTTTACAAACCAAATAAATAGGTATTATATGCAAATCTGAGTTCCTTTCTAGGTCATAGTGATGATTTATACAAGACTGAACAAATTTAACTTGTTAAATAAACATCTTTTTCTTAAGTATAGTAATAAGTATAACAAGTTGAATTTGGTTGATTTGTGAAGCATTTGTGCATTTTGACCTCCAACAGGATACCAAAGGGAAATAACTCCAAGTCAAATTAGGTCAGTAGAAAACTGTCTCTTGGGTACTGTGTTTTTTTTTTTTTTTTTTATGTCTATTGCTGTGTTCTTCATTTAACAATGAAGGGACCTCGGTGGCCGAGTGGTCTAAGTAGTTACTACTGTAATCACTAGCCAGTCAACACTGAGGTTGTGAGTTCGAACCCCGCTCATGCATGCACTTGACTCCAATCTTAATTGACTAGGATTGTCAGTTTTCCTATCGAAGGTCGGTGGTTTTCTCCGGGCACTCCGGCTTCCTCCACCAATAAAAACTGGCAGCCATGAAATAGCTCAAAAGCGGTGCTTAAAAGTGGCGTTAAAACACCAAAAAATCAAAATCAAATCATTTAACAATTAAAGAACCTTAGTGAGCGTGCTCACATACCCCACGTCCCCACATTGTCATTGGAGAAAAAAAATAAGTGTAAGAAAAAAAAATTGTATAAGAAAAAAAAATTGAATCATAATTTCCTGTCAATATGCAAATCTACATAGTATGTCCTTATTATCTACAAAGTTTCATGAAATTCTGTTGTGTGGTTTCAGAGGAGTTGTGATGACAAACTGTTGCAAAAGTACATTGAAGCAAATAAGTTCAAAGGGGCGTAACACTAAGAAAAATAAAATGCTCCGCAGGGCGCAACTTGATACGACCGCAGAGGTCAAACCCTGAACAGTTGGGGCAAGTATGGACACAACATTCAAGCTTGATACAGCTCTGAATTTGGATTGTGATTAAATATTTGACACAGCATAGGTTTCTGACACAGAATGAATGTGGTCTAAGAACTTAAAAATTTTAAATTGTACATTCACCTATTATGGTCCAATATCCAAAATCTAAATACATGGTTAGATTCAGCATACCAAGAATTAAATTTTTGATGAAATCAAACAAAGTTTAATTTTGGACCCTTTTGACCCCAATGTGGACAAAGTTGATAATGGGGCCCAAAAATCAAAAATCTAAATACATGGTTAGATTCAGCATATCAAAGAACCCCATATATTCAATTTTTGTTGAAATCAAACAAAGTTTAATTTTGGACCCCGATTTGGACCAACTTGAAAACTGGGCCCATAATCAAAAATCTAAATACATGTTTAGATTCAGCATATCAAAGAACCCTAAGAATTCAATTTTTGTTAAAATCAAACTAAGTTTAATTTTGGACCCTTTGGACCTTAATGTAGACCAATTTGAAAACGGAACCAAAAATTAAGAATCTAAATACACGGTTAGATTCGGCATATCAAAGAACCCCAATAATTCAATTTTTGATGAAATCAAACAAAGTTTAATTTTGGACCCTTCGGACCTCAATGTGGACCAATTTAAAAACGGGGCCCAAAATCCGAAAACTTAATGCACGGTTAGAATCAGCATATTAAAGAACCCCAAGAATTCAAGAATAAAACCCCATTGAAATTGGTCAAGAAATAAGCAATTTATACGAAGTATCTTCTTTTGCACAATACTGTGCAATTGAATATTTCTTGCTATTGCGCAATACTGTACAATTGACAATTTCTTGCTATTGTGCAATATTGTGCTATTGGATATTTCTTGCTATTGCACAATACTGTGCAATTGAATATTTCTTGCTATTGCGCAATACTGTACAATTGACAATTTCTTGCTATTGTGCAATACTGTGCAATTGAAGATTTCTTGCTATTGTGCAATACTGTGCAATTGAAAATTTCTTGCTATTGCACAATACTTATTATATAATAATTTACACATCCTGTTTGGTGTGTATCTCCTACCATATCATTATTATTTGCTTTTAAATATAAAACAGAAATAACCAACTTAAAATGGAAAATTTTAAAAGAAAAAAAAAGGAAAAAAAAAAAAATCCCTCCCCAAATTTTTTGAACCCCCTTATGATTCATCACCCCCAAACTCAATCCCAGCCTTCCCGTTGTGGTATGGTACATTGCAGTACAATTTCAGAGAGATCCATACACTTGAACACAAGTTATTGTCTGGAAACTAGAAAAATGCTTATTTTTGGCCCCTTATTCCTAAACATTTTGGGCAATTACCCCCAAACTCAATTCAAGCTTTCCCTTTGTGATATGAAACCTTCTAGTACAGTTTCAGAAAGATCCATACACTTACACACAAGTTATTATCATGAAACTAGAAAAATGCTTGTTTTTTTCCCCTTTTTTGGCCCCTAATTCCTAATATTTTGAGGCAATTACCCCCAAAATCAATCCCAGCATTCCCTGTGTGATATGGAACCTTGTGGTACAATTTCAAAGAGATCCATACACTTGAACACAAGTTATTGTCTGGAAACTAGAAAAATGCTTATTTTTGGCCCCTTATTCCTAAACGTTTTGGGCAATTACCCCCAAACTCAATTCCAGCTTTCCCTTTGTGATATGTAACCTTGTAGTACAATTTCATAAAGATCCATACACTTACACACAAGTTATTGTCATGAAACTAGAAAAATGCTTGTTTTTTGCCCCTTTTTTGGCCCCTAATTCCTAATATTTTGAGGCAATTACCCCCCAAAATCAATCCCAGCATTCCCTGTGTGATATGGAACCTTGTGGTACAATGTCAGAGAGATCCATACACTAACACACAAGTTATGTCTGGAAGTTACAAAAATGCTTATTTTTGGCCCCTAATTTCTTAACTGTTGGTACCATAACCCTCAAAATCAATCCCAACCTTCCTTTTGTGGTATTGAACCTTATGGTAAAATTTCATAGAGATCCATTCACTTAAACTTAAGTTAGAATGCGAAAACCAATGTGTCTTCGGATGACGCCGGACGACGCCAGACGACGACGATGCCAACGTCATACCAATATACGACCGCAAAAATTTTTTGCCGTCGTATAAAAAATGAATCGTAATTTCCTGTCGATATGCACAACTACAAAGTATGTCCTTATTATCTACAAAGGTTTCATGAAATTCTGTTGTGTGGTTTCAGAGGAGTTGCGATGACAATAAATAGGACTGACGGACTGACGGACGGACGGACGGGCCAAAAACATTATACCCTCCGCAACTCGTTGCGTGGGGTATAATGACATATGAAGTGCAATTGTTTTCTGAAAATGTTGACAACTAGTTATTTCCATCACTGCTGTTCCATTAAAACCTACATAGTACCCAGGTAAGGCACTTTGAAAACTGGGTAATCATCTAAAGAGGCTATTTTAGAATTTCTTTCATATTCTGCATACAAAAACATCTACCCATAGATGCAAATTCGAGGTGCTTTCACTAGGTCCCAAGTATGTGTTAATGGTACAGCCCTACAGCATAAAGAGCAATTAAAGATCTAATTTGCCATATTTCATATTCCAATCACTGCGACTGGGGATCAAAGGCTTAACATTTACATTCCATTTAAAATTTATCATTTGATTAAAGATCAACATGACAACAAACAAATGCCCATCATTCTTGTGAAAAGATAGAAAAAGATAAGAGGCTATTGTCCATAATTGAAAGACAGAGGTTTCCAATGAAATTGAACATGATGGAACCTTCTATTACCAAATATTTGTCAGTCTTCCAAGGAAAAAGTTTTTCACCTGCAGTCTCCAAGCAATATAAGCAGAAACAGCAACCTCCATGTTTCGGTATTGGAAACCAAATCAAAAATTAAAATCAAAGCAGATGTTTCAAATGACTTAAGCATTAAAATAAATGTGTCCGAGTCATTGTAGGAAAATGCATGTCATCTTAATTCTCCACATAATATAAGCAGAAACTGCAAAGTTCCTATTTTTAACCCTACAAATCACTCAGATCAAAAACCAAATTGTGTGTTTCTTATTAGGAAAATGCGCCTTGCCATGCTTGCCTAGAGTGACACCAATGACATAGCTGGCAACTATGTCTTATGAAAACAGAAGTGATCTCTATATAGCTTCACATCAGGCAACACAAAAAATAGCATGTCATCAAAGTGAATCTGCCTATGTTTGGTTGAATTCTGTCAAGCCATTTTCAAGAAGTTGTAGATTTACATTGTGTGATGTAGCAGATATGGACAACAACTAGGAAAAGGAAAGAACTGATCCCATGTGTCAATATAGGTTCGCAGTCAGGTGCCTAAGTAAAATTGGACAAAAGGAACCAGTTGGGGTAAGGAACCAAACACACTGATCTAAATTCAGACATTTAATTTTCAGTGGCATCTTTAAACATATTGTAGTTTAACAAGTTTCTAAATTAAAGGAGCTTATTTTATAAGGCTGAGATACCTTTGAAACTGTATGTGCCTCTCCATACCTTATTACTTTTAAAGAATCCTTCAGCTTTTAGAGTTTTATTTGGCACAGCTAAAAACCTCAAATCACTATGGAATCTCTCCAAAACACATCTCATTTGGTCTACCGGACACTTCAGCATCTAAAAATAAATCATAGATAAATTTCTGTGGTATAACTCTTTTTTTTCCTTTAATTAAAATTCTGTTATGAATTAAACAAAGGGGTTAAATAATTTTGTTACTAACCTTTAAACATAGCTCTTCATTGCAAGAAAACAGATTCCTTCTCTACTGCAAGATAGTGGATCCAGTATCAATTAAATAATTTATCAACAAGAATGTGTCCATAGTACATGCCCCACTCGCACTATCATTTTCTATGTTCAGTGGACCGTGAAATTGGGGTCAAAACTCTAATTTGGCATTAAAATTAGAAAGATCATATCATAGGGAACATGTGTACTAAGTTTCAAGTTGATTGGACTTCAACTTCATCAAAACTACCTTGACCAAAAACTTTAACCTGACACAGGACAGACAGACGAACGGACAGACGAACGAACGAACAGACCAGAAAACATAATGCCCCTACTACTATCTTATGTGGGGCATAAAAAGAGATTTCCTTGTTCTTTGATAAAAATTATTTGGAAAATTTGGGTTGCTGTCTCATTGTTGTACACCCCATCTGCATCCAGGATTAAGAATGGGCTTAATACAAAGAGCTACTGGATAAATGTAAACTTTATATAAAATATAGTAGAGAATATATATATATAAGGCATACTTGGGGGGATGTTTTAAACCAATTAGAAAAGCTCATTTCACATGTTTCATCAATACACTATTAAAACCCCATTAATGTCAAATGAAAAATCTAAAATGAGCGAATAGTCAAGAGCTTATAGCCTGTTAAAAGATGCTTGTTTTCACAAATTTTACCATAAGACTTACATTTGAGACTATTTTCTTAAATTCATTAACAGTTTGAGTCTGATAGGCTCGAACACTGATGGGATCATGGAGAATATCGTTTTCTATGTCCGCCACATAGACTTTCACTGTTACACCTGTAAGACAGAACATGAAAATAAATAGTGATTGTTGTCTTCAGCATTGACATAAATTGCATAGATAAATACAAAAGCTTTAATCATGAAAAATCTATTAAAATATATATAAAAATAAACTGTTATCACAGAGTTATGTCTCACCTTTTTTTAATTTTGATAATGCAAATGTTGAAATTAAAATAGCAATACTTTAACATGTAAGTTATGCAAATATTCAAAGTCGATGAACCATGACTGAAGGTACATGGCTAAACAATCTCTATGGAAATGAGATGTGCTAATGCTTATACAACTGAATACAAATTAACATTGGCCTACCACTAATAGTTCCCCTTGAACTGACATAATCACAAACTTATACATGGAAACTGAGCAAATTTTCAAAGTCAATAGACCATGACTAAGGAGGAGAGAGGGGGGGGGGGCGGAGCCAAATAATCTCCATGGAAATGAGATATACAAATATGCTTATACAACTGCATATCAAATATCATTGACCCTCCACTAGTGGATCCCCATAAACTGACCTAATCACAACCTAATACATGTAAACTAAGCAACAGTTTCAAAGTCAATAGACCATGACTGAGGGGGCAGGGACAAATAATCATGGATATGAAATGTGCCAATGCTAATACAACTGCATACCAAATATCATTCACCTACCACTTGTGATTCAACATAAACTAGACCTAATCACAAACTAATACATTGTTGACGCCGCTGCCCCCTGAAACAGCATACCTATGTTTCGCTTTTTGACTCTGTCAAGGCGAAAACAACAAGAATGTGTCCATAGTACACGGATGCCCCACTCGCACTATCATTTTCTATGTTCATTTGACTATGAAATTGGGGTCAAAACTCTAATTTGGCATTAAAATTAGAAAGATCATATCATAGGGAACATGTGTACTAAGTTTCAAGTTGATTGGACTTCCAACTTCATCAAAAACTACCTTGACCAAAAACTTAACCTGAAGCGGGACAGACGGACGAACGGACGGACAAACGAACGGACGCAAAGACCGAAAAACATAATGCCCCTCTACTATCGTAGGTGGGGCATATTAAGGAGATGAGGTATGATTGCCAAAGAGACAACAATCCACCAAAGTTCAAATGAAGTGGATGTAAGCAATTATAGGCACCTGTACAGCCTTCAACAATGAGAAATAAACTGCTTCGCTGAGCGCAGCTAGATACGCCCGCAGAGGTCCAACCCTGAACAGTTGGGGCAAAAATGGACACAATATTCAAGCTTGATTCAGGTCCGAATTTGGATTGTAATTAAATATTTGACATATTATAGGTTTCTGAATAAATGTAGTCAAAGATCTTGAAATTGGTTATATGAATTTAATTTATATTCAATTAAAGATTTCTTGCTGTTGTGCAATACTTAGTAAATCTGTTGTCAGACTATAAACAAATAAAGTTCAATTAATTCTCAATGTCATATTAGAAATTTATGAAAATAAAAAGGGAGCTTACATCAATAGATATAAACAATTCACCAAAGTTTCATGAGAATTGGTGACAGCATTTTTGAGTTATTGTCCGAAAACTGGAAAATCACCCCTTTTTTAATGAATAAAACTCCATAACTCAGAAATGTAAAATGTAAAATTTATAAAATTCTAAAGGGAGCTTACATCAATAGATACAAACAATTCACCAAAGTTTCATAAGAATTGCTGAAAGCATTTTTGAGTTTTTGTCCGAAAACTGGAAAATCCCCCCTTTTTTCATGAATAAAACCCTGTAACTCGGAAACGTAAAATCTAAAATTTATAAAAATTGAAAGGGAGCTCATGTCAATAAATATAAACAATTCACCACAATTTCTTGCAAGTTGGTGAAAGCATTCTTGAATTATTGTCCAAAAACTAGAAAATCCCCCCTTTTTTAATTAATAAAACCCCATAACTCGGAAACGTAAAAACTAAATTTTATAAAAAACGAAAGGGAGCTCACGTCAATAGATATAAACAATTCACCAAAGTTTTATGCAAATTGGTTAAAGCATTTTTGAGTTAATGTCCGACATGTTGACGACGGACGGACGGACAGACGGACAACGGTATACCATAATACGTCCCGTAAACGGGCGTATAATAACTGCTTCGCTGAGCGCAGCTTGATACGACCGCAGAGGTCCAACCCTGAACAGTTGGGGCAAAAATGGAAATATTCACGCTTGATACAGGTCTGAATTTGGATTGTATTAAATATTTGACATATTATAGGTTTCTGAATAAATGTAGTCAAATAACTTGAAATTGGTTATATGAATTGAATTTATATTCAATTAAAGATTTCTTGCTGTTGTGCAATACACTGTGCTGTTGCGCAATACTTAGTAAATCTGTTGTCAGACTATAAACAATTAAAGTTCAATTAATTCCCAATGTCATATTAGAAATTTATGAAAATGTAAAGGGTGCTTACATTAATAGATATAAACAATTCACCAAAGTTTCATAAGAACTGCTGAAAGCATTTTTTTTTTTGTCCGAAAACTGGAAAATCCCCCTTTTTTTATGAATAAAACCCTGTAACTTGGAAAATTAAAATCTAAAATATATAAAAATCGAAAGGGAGCTTATGTCAATAGATATAAACAATTCACCAAAATTTCTTGCAAGTTGGTGAAAGCATTCTTGAGTTATTGTCCGAAAAACTGGAAAATCCCCCTTTTTTTAATGAATAAAACCCCACAACTACGAAACGTAAAATCTAAAATTTATAAAAAACGAAAGGGAGCTCACGTCAATAGATATAAACAATTCACCAAAGTTTTATGCAAATTGGTTAAATGTTTTAGTTAATGTCCGATATGTTGACGATGGACGGACGGACAGCGGTATACCATAATACGTCCCGTAAACGGGCGTATAAAAACCCATACCGTATAGTCAGCTATAGTTTGTTAAATATCATAAACCTTTCAGAATTTTGGGTCCTCAATGCTTTTTAATTGCATTCTCTATTTTTTGGTCTTTAACTGTTTTTGATTCGAGCGTCCCTTATAAATCTTTAGTATGCCTAGTATCTTTGACGAGTTATTTTTAAACATTCGAAATTTCTCAAACATTATCTGTTATCAATATATGTGGGTGAATAATATGTCAAACAAAACACATTGATATTTTAAACTTCCAAAAACAGTTCAAGAAAATGTAAAAATTTAAAGGTCTTCGTTTTATTTCAGAATCGTGTAAAGCCCTACTACTAATAAACACATGTGTAACAGTGTCTATATTGGATGTTGTCTTAATGCAGTTTATTAACTTTTCACATGGAACTAATGTCCTACATACTGACCTCCTGGACGGTATTCCTGGAATTCTTGATCTGAATGTTTGGTTTCCAATAACAAGTCAAAGTTATACGCCTGTTTGACCCCTCCCAGAATCTGTCCCATGGTGTGTTCTTCTTGACCCTCGTATGAACACTCTAAGGAATCATGATACTCATCATACTTAACGATCCGACAGCAGTCCAAAGGAAGGATGTCTTCTAAATCAAACATCTAAAACACAGAATATAATTTTACAGTATTTTGTCTTTGTGTGTATATGTGTGAGAGAAACGGGATTATTATAATTATCTATAACAAAGTTTAAAACTAAATTGTCTTAAAAAAACTTTTGTGGCCTATTGGGGTCTCTTCTCATCTACATATACCAAACATATTTTTTTAATCTTCATTTTCAAATTTTACCTCCAAAAACTGAAATATTTAAGATTCAGAAAATTATAATTGCATTTTTTATTAATTTCCTAATAAATGGAATCACTGTGACACTTATTAAGCGTGATTGCATTTCAGAAAAGTTTTTTCTTTAAATCAATATGATACTTTTATAAAGATATTGAATAATTTCTGCATCTTATGTAAATTTTTTTATCCTATACATACCTTTCTTTCAGTGCCAAATTTTAATAACATGCTATTTATGATTTGTGGTTATGTTCCATGTTAAGGTGGTACATAACACTACAGGGAGATAACTCTGTAAAAATCAGCTGAACGTTTTAATCACGTTCTATTGTTAAGGAAATATTAAGCTTCTCAATGATAAAAAATAGTGTTTGTCAAACTGCTATATAGCCAATGAAATTTTTACGATAAAGTGTGTGGTTCAAGTTTTTTGAAATTTTTATATTTTTGTCAAAGGGTCAAAGTTAATATTTTGTCAAAATTTTATGAATATTAAACGAGCCAAATTAATTTGAGTCAAGGTGTTTGGTACCATCTTAAATACTCAATAAACCATGACTAACAGATATTGATGACATCACAATACCTGTGTGCTTAAAATGTCATAAATGTCCAATTATACCAAATTCTGGATTTTTGTTTGTTCAATTTCCAAATTGAATCAAAATAATTTAGGAATTCAGTAGTTTATCTTGAAATTTACCATGGTTAGGTCCTATATTTTTTAAATCTTATCTTTATGGTGAGCATAATATATTCATGAAAATATTGCCTACCAATGGTGAAATCCCCCATCAACCAAAGACTGCCCATAAATTATTTTTTCAAATAAGGTGTTCAAAGTAAAGCTCTTATGAATTTAAATTTCCCAAAATGGTCCCCATTCCAATTTCTTTTTGTAGTTTTATATCATTCGATCTTTTTACTTTATAGGCAATTTCTGTAGTTTCTGTTAGTGTTTTATCTTTGTGTATCTCTAGCTTTTGTTCTATTTGTCTTTTCTTCAGTGGGTGATAACAGAAAAGCTTAATCTGAAAAAAAAATACAGGTTAAGAAATCTGTACCATAATCAGCCAATTAATATCTGAAAATTACAGAAGCACCGTGCTTGTATAGCCTGAATTGCAATCTATATGGATTAGTAATAGAACAGACAGATTTATGTGCTTGTAAAGACAAACACTGGAATGTCTGCTGACAATTTTGGACATTAAAGTGCTGATGTGCTGAAAAGGCAGTTATGATCAAAAAATTTGATAAGGGTTCTGTGATGTCTCACTTTCAACTGCTGTCATCAGCGTAAGACTAGTAAAATCAAGCCAAATGAAAAAAATTTTAATTTTGCTCAGGGAGCTAACTCTGGTTTATGAAGAAGCTTCTGTCCTAATTTTTTTATGCAATTAAAATAAGGCGTGACCAAGTTATTGATGTCTAAAAAACATTAACCTCAGATTGTTTCTTAATGTAAGAGCAAATAAATTTAAAAACATAAGTCAAATTGTTAGTAAAATACAAAACATGGATAAATTAATTTTGCTCTGTGCCCTGTTGTCTTTTGATCATGAAGAAACTTTTGACCAAATTTCCAAAAAATTCATGAAGGTTTGACAAAGCTAGTGTTCAATTTTCACTGATTATTCTCTCTGAGAACCTGCTCTTTATCTTTAATCTGGTCAGATAACCTCTAAAGTTTACACACCAGTATGAAATAAATGTGGATAGTGTCCACATGTGGACACAGATGATGCCCCTGCTTGCATATCATATAGTTATAAAGGGACATAACTGAAGAACGGTAAAAGTGACGCTACCCAAATTTGAACTTGATCTGAGTTTTGTGGTAATAAGCATTGTGTGTAAGTCTCATAACATTTGGTTGAGGCTAACTTAAGTAGAGAATAGAAACTAAAAATTCAGCAATTTTTCTATTTGTAAACACGCATAACTCTAGAACGGTTGTGTATAAGTTTTACAACATTTGGTTGAGACAAACTAAAAAATTCAGTAATTTTTATGTTTATAAAGGGACATAACTCTAGAATGGTAAAAGTGTTGCCACCTAATTTCGTACTTAATCTGTATTATGTAGTAATAAGCATTGTGTATAAGTTTCATAACATTTGGTTGAGGCAAAATCAAGTTAGAGAACTGAAACAAAAAAATTGTACTTGATCCTTACTGAGTTTTGTGGTAATGAATATTGTGTATAGGTTTCATAATGTTTGGCTGGGGAAAACTTCAGTTACAGAATGGAAACTAAAAAATTTTGCAATCTTTCTATTTATAAAGGGGCATAACTCAATAATGGTTAAAGTGACACTACCCAAATTCAACTTGATCTGTGTTTTATCAGTGGAAGTCAAAATTAAACATTGCATTGTATAAAGCAATGATTGTAGTTGATTCAACTATAATCATGGTCAAAGGAAGATAACTCCAATTTTAAAAATATATTATATAAACTTGATATTTAGAAGAAAATTAAAATTTTGCAATTTTTCCTTTTATAAAGGGGCATAACTCTAGATCGGTTAAAGTGACACCACCAAAATTCAAACTTGATCTGTGTTTTGTGGTAATAAGCATTGTGTATAAGTTTCATAACATTTGGTTGAGGCAAACTTGTTAGAGAACGGAAACTAAAAATTTTGCAAGATTTCCTTTTATAAAGGGGCATAACTCTAGATCGGTTAAAGTGACGCCACCAAAATTCAAACTTGATCTGTGTTTTGTGGTAATAAGCATTGTGTATAAGTTTCATAACATTTGGTTGAGGCAAACTGAAGTTAGAGAACGGAAACCAATTTCGGGACGTACGGACGGACGTACGTACGTACGTACGTACGTACAGACGGACAAGGGTAAAACTTAATGCCCCCTCCGCTACGGCGGGGGCATAAATATGTATGACTAAAAAAGATATGCCTATTTCCAAACATTTGTACCCGATATTTGACTTGACAGATTTCGACTAAATTGGGAATTGCTAAATTTACCTTTAACCCTTTTTTTTTTTAAATTAACTTAAAACTTAATAAACTGATTTTTTCAAGTTTTTTTCATTGGGTTTCTGTGCAGTTACAGAAAGTACCTGGTTTTATACAAAAACAATGATTTTAAAAATTTTAAGAAATTCAAGGACATTTTAGATGTTCGGTACAGGGTTATCTTGTTTTGAGATGTCAGCTATAATTATACCTTGCACATTGATTTGTCCAGTTCTCGTTGTCTTTTTTCAAACTCCTCTTTATCTTTCATATTTTGTAAATGTTGTTTGATATGAGCAGGAAAACCATCGGCCTGTGTAAAATCTGTCAAGAAAATATAACATTATAGATTATACATAACATTAGGAAGCATTGATAAATAGCTTTCCATCTCCAAGTCTGTAATATTCTCTCCCATTTACCTGAAATAACTTTTCACAAATGCAACTAATAACAGTTTATTCCAAATCATTTATTCTGGTTGTTGTAGTCCATAGTAGCTGTCTTGTCCCAACATAAACCCAGGTTGTCAAGGACAGCACTTTATGCATTACTCAACAATAACAAATCTTAACAGTTCCTTAAAGTTAATCAAGTGTTCACAATGTGTTAATCAGTCAAAATAGGTCCATTATAATACATTTGAGAAAAGCTATTTTCTATTAAAAATATCTGAGGACTATTAGTAAGCTATGCCCGTAACATGCAAGACCAGGATTAAATTCAATTATGATCATCCTCAGGTTCTATAACTGTCAAAAGTTTCATCAATAGCGGTTAGCAACAGGTGTATATATACAGTATCAATGTGAAAATTAAATTTCTACTGTCCATGTCTATTTAATTTTACCTTTGAATCAACAGGTGATATAAAAAAATATTTACAAAACAAACTTTATGGTGAAAAAAAAAAAATTGAAACAGCAAGATTCAAAGGCCAGACGATTACAAACTTTAAATAAAAATTTAATATAAGAAAAACCAAACATTTACCTGCATTTCTTTGTTTATCGATTTGTCTGTACATTAACATGTAAGCATTTGTTGAACTGCAGAAAAAATAGAAAAAGATATATATGAATATGACTATGATAGAAGCCTACATTTAAACTGTGTAGCAATTAATTCATCAATAAATATATTATATATATACTTTATCATAAATACGTCTTAACAAGTGACAACTCAGATCCATCCATTGGATCACCAGTGAAGGTGATACATGGCTGAAAACACATATTATATTCATAATTACTCTAAATATCAGCACAACAATGTTAAATCTGCAAATTTGCGGAAGCAAATTTTTGTTCTTCCCTCGCCAGTATTCGAACTCATGCTATTGGGATATCGTGACAATACACAGTGCAGGCGGTGTTGTCATGATATCCCAATAGCATGAGTTTGAATCCCGGCAAGAAGAACAATAAAATGCTCCGCAGGGCGCAGCTTGATACGACCGCAGAGGTCGAACCCTGAACAGTTGGGGCAAGTATGGACACAACATTCAAGCTTGATACAGCTCTGAATTTGGATTGTGATTAAATATTTGACACAGCATAGGTTTCTGACACAGAATGAATGTGGTCTAAGAACTTAAAAATTTTAAATTGGACATTCACCTATTATGGTCCAATATCCAAAATCTAAGTACATGGTTAGATTCAGCATATCAAAGAACCCCAAGAATTCAATTTTTGATGAAATCAAACAAAGTTTAATTTTGGACCCTTTTGACCTCAATGTGGACAAAGTTGATAACGGGGCCCAAAAATCAAAAATCTAAATACATGGTTAGATTCAGCATATCAAAGAACCCCATATATTCAATTTTTGTTGAAATCAAACAAAGTTTAATTTTGGACCCCGATTTGGACCAACTTGAAAACTGGGCCCATAATCACAAATCTAAATACATGTTTAGATTCAGCATATCAAAGAACCCTAAAAATTCAATTTTTGTTAAAATCAAACTAAGTTTAATTTTGGACCCTTTGGACCTTAATGTAGACCAATTTGAAAACGGAACCAAAATTTAAGAATCTAAATACACGGTTAGATTCGGCATATCAAATAACCCCAATAATTCAATTTTTGATGAAATCAAACAAAGTTAAATTTTGGACCCTTTGGACCTCAATGTGGACCAATTTAAAAACGGGGCCCAAAATCCAAAAACTTAATACACGGTTAGATTCAGCATATTAAAGAACCCCAAGAATTCAAGAATAAAACCCCATTGAAATTGATCAAGAAATAAGCAATTTATACGAAGTATCTTCTTTTGCACAATACTGTGCAATTGAATATTTCTTGCTATTGTGCAATACTGTACAATTGACAATTTCTTGTTATTGCGCAATATTGTGCTATTGGATATTTCTTGCTATTGCGCAATACTGTGCAATTGAAGATTTCTTGCTATTGCGCAATACTGTGCAATTGAAAATACTTATTATATAATAATTTACACATCCTGTTTGGTGTGTATCTCCTACCATATCATTATGCTTTTAAATATTAATCAGAAATAACCAACTTAAAATGGAAAATTTTAAAAGAAAAAAAAAAAGGAAAAAAAGAAAAAAAAAGAAAAAAAAAAAATCCCCCCCCCAAATTTTTTGAACCCCCTTATGATTCATCACCCCCAAACTCAATCCCAGCCTTCCCTTTGTGGTATGGTACCTTGCAGTACAATTTCAGAGAGATCCATACACTTGAACACAAGTTATTGTCTGGAAGCTAGGAAAATGCTTATTTTTGGCCCCTTTTTGGCCCCCAATTCCTAAACGTTTTGGGCAATTACCCCCAAACTCAATTCCAGCTTTCCCTTTGTGATATGGAACCTTGTAGTACTATTTCAGAAATATCCAAACACTTACACACAAGTTATTGTCATGAAACTAGACAAATGCTTGTTTTTTGCCCCTTTTTTGGCCCCTAATTCCTAAAATTTTGAGGCAATTACCCCCAAAATCAATTACAGCCTTCCCTTTGTGATATGGAACCTTGTGGTACAATGTCAGAGAGATCCATACACTTACACACAAGTTATTGTCTGGAAGTTACAAAAATGCTTATTTTTGGCCCCTTTTTGGCCCCTAATTCCTTAACTGTTGGTACCATAACCCCCAAAATCAATCCCAACCTTCCTTTCATGGTATTGAACCTTATGGTAAAATTTCATGGAGATCCATTCACTTAAACTAAAGTTAGAGTGCGAAAACCAATGTGTCTTCGGACGACGCTGGACGACGCCAGACGAAGACGACGACGACGATGACGACGCCAACGTCATACCAATATACGACCAAAAAATTTTTAATTTTTGCGGTCGTATAAAAATTATTTAACATTGTTGTGCTGATATTTTGAGTAATTATGAATATAATATGTGTTTTCAGCCGTGTATCACCTTCACTGGTGATCCAATGGATAGATCAGTCGTAGAGTTGTCACTTGTTTAGATGTACTTATCAAATAATTATTTCTGTGACTGCATCTTACGATCCTTTACGACAGATAATTTTGCTTATCTGCAATCAATTCCATCTTCATGCCTAATATATCTGTACTGTTTTACAACTCTAGATTCTACTGACGATGAAAGGTAACACTAGGCGACCAAAAGCTGAATTTTTAGTTCATTCTAGGTGGCCAAGTGGTCTAAAGCGCTGGACACAGTGCAGGCGGTGTTGTCACGATATCCCAATAGCATGAGTTCAAATCCTGGAGAGGGAAGAACAAAAATTTGCTTCTGCAAATTTGCAGATTTAAAATTGTTGTGCTGATAATTAGAGTAATTACTTTATCATAAATACATGCATGCACAATATATCTTTTAAAATGTTTAACAAGAGTAACCTTCAAGTGCTATCAGTTTTAATTTTATATCAGTTTATTCTGTTTAGGTCTTTCTAATAATAATCAAGTCTCACAATGTATTTATATATTTATTTTCTGTCTGAACTTGGGTTCGAGCATTCCTGATAAGAGGTTCATCTATAAAAGCACCTTGAACGCAGGTTCAATAAGACACACCAAAATAGTCCTTTTTTTAGGATTTGATGGCCATTATCAAAGTGTATCATAATTAAAAACAATGACTAGATAGGAGATAGGTCTTTTTTAATTTACATATCAGCATTCTTTTTATGGTAAAAATTTGCACTTTTTGTACATATTGTATGCAGCGGTTCATGAAATCACAATAATCAATCAATATGCAGATTATTCAGTGTGCACCACATTTTTGATGTTATTTCTTCATAGACAGAAAAAATATTACAGTCATTCCTTAAACAATGACAATAATACATGCACACAATATTTTCCGAAATTTACAGTATTCTTTCTACCATTATCACCTTGTATATGTAGCTGAGTAATAACCTCGTGAACCTGTCGATCCTCCGTAGGTTTTTGTTATTTCTTCATATGTAATCTGCAAGAAAATATCAAATTTATATAAGATCCTTAAAATAAAGTAAATGATATCTGCATTCATAAAAAGCATATAACTGTTACTTAACAGCAAATACCATTCATGTGTTTCATTGATTTTCTTGCAACAGGTCAATTCAATTAAATTTCATTGAGAGTTATTAAAAAATTGTTAGGTGTAAAAATTAATATTTGTACTCTGATAGTAAAACAGGCTGACTTTAGTTAGATATGTATTAGTTCTATGGGAGTAATTCTGCTTTCAACACCCAATATTTTTCAAAATATCTCTTGTTAAAAGTAAAATAGAAAAAGGCACTTGAAAAAATGGGTATAAACAAGGATGGTTTATGTTGTAGTTAAGTACACATTGTAATGTGTTCATCATGGTTTAAAACCAAACAAAGTGCTTACTCTCTTTTTATTTTTTAATGTTCTTTCAATAAAAAAGTAAACTTTTATGATTATATACAAAAGGTAAATAAATAAATAAAATGCTCCGCTAAGCGCAGCTTGATAAGACCGCAGAGGTCGAACCCTGAACAGTTGGGGCAAGTATGGACACAACATTCAAGCTTGATACACACTGACTTTGGATTGTGATTAAATATTTGACACAGTATAGGTTTCTGACACAGAATGAATGTGGTCTAAGAACTTATAAATTTTTAATTTACCTATTCAAACCATATCATTATTATTTGCTTTTATATATAAATCAGAAATAACCAATTTAAAATGGAAAATTTAAAAGAAAAAAAATCCCTCCCCCCAAATTTTTTGAACCCCCTTATGATTCATCACCTCCAAACTCAATCCCAGCCTTCCCTTTGTGGTATGGTACCTTGCAGTACAATTGCAGAGAGATCCATACACTTACACACAAGTTATAGGCCTGAAACTAGAAAAATTCGTAAGGGTTCCGCGGAACCCAGTGTCTCGCCTACTTTTTCTGTTAATCGCAGGCTCAACAAAAATGAGGAAGTAAATCAATAAAAATATTCCTCTTGATACTATCTTTTGGTTGTAAGAAGCTTCTGTCCAAGTTTGGTAAAAATCCAGGATAGTTTATGAATCTAATAAATGTTTAAAAACTTTAATTGCAGCCTGAATGTAATGTTAACTGGAAGAAAACAAAATTTCCTTCTAGATACTAGCATTTGATCATAAACAAGCTTTTGTCCAAGTTTGGTACAAATCCAAAATAGTATAAGAAAGTAATTAAAATTTTAAAAACTTTAACCACAGAGTGAATATGTTGTTTCCTGGCAGAAAATCTAAGTCCATTTAAAAGTAAAATACGGAAAAAATGGATTTATTTTTTTACAAAATTTCCTTCTAGATACTAGCTTTTGATCATAAACAAGGTTCTGTCCAAGTTTGGTACAAATCCAAAATAGTTTAAGAAAGTTATTAAAATTTTACAAACTTTAACCACAGAGCGAATGTGTTGTTTCCTGGCAGAAAATCTAAGTCCATTTAAAAGTAAAATAAGGAAAAAATTGATTTATTTTTTTACAAAATTTACTTCTAGATACTATCTTATGATCATAAACAAGCTTCTGTCCAAGTTTGGTACAAACCCAGGATAGTTTAAGAAAGTAATTAAAATTTTAAAAACTTTAACCATAGAGTGAATGTAATATTTCCCGGCAGAAAAACTAAGTCCATTTATAAGTAAAATACGGAAAAAATGGAATTTTATTTTTATAAAATTTACTTCTGGATATAATCTTATGATCATAAACAAGCTTCTGTCCAAGTTTGGTAGAAATCCAGGATAGTTTAAGAAAGTTATTAAAATTTCAAAAACTTTAACCACAGAGTGAATATTTGTGGACGCCGCCGACGACAACGACGCCGACGGAATGTAGGATCGCTATGTCTCGCTTTTTCGACTAAAGTCGAAAGCTCGACAAAAAATGCTTGTTTTTTTCCCTTTTTGGCCCCTAATTCCTAAAATTTTGAGGCAATTCCCCCCAAAATCAATCCCAGCCTTCCCTTTGGGGTATCGTAACTTGCAGTACAATTTCAGAGAGATCCATACACCTGAACACAAGTTATTGTCTGGAAACTAGAAAAATGCTTATTTTTGGCCCCTAATTCCTAAACGTTTTGGGCAATTACCCCCAAACTCAATTCCAGCTTTCCCTTTGTGATATGGAACCTTGTAGTACAATTTCAGAAAGATCCATACACTTACACACAAGTTATTGTCATGAAATTAGAAAAATGCTTGTTTTTTGCCCCTTTTTTGGCCCCCAATTCCTAAAATTTTGAGACAATTACCCCCAAAATCAATCCCAGCATTCCCTTTATGATATGGAATCTTGTGGTACAATGTCATAGAGATCCATACACTAAAACACAAGTTATGTCGGGAAGTTACAAAAATGCTTATTGACTATGTTAACTCAATGTTATCTTACTTTTGAGACATGTTGGTCATTGAAGCTGTACCACTGTCCATCAATGAAAGACCTAAAAATAAGAAAGTTATCAAATTAAGGCAATCTTACCTGATGAATGTTGATCAAAAGGATAATAAGAAGTCATTTACTAATATAATTAACTATTCACTGAAGTTGATAAAAATTTTGAAACAGTTTTATTAACGATGTCTCTGCTTGTATCATTTTAACTTTTCCCTTCTATACGTTGTTATTTTTTTAGGAATTTCTATTAGTGATGTGCACAAACTGTTGCACATTGACCCCCTTATTTCTATTCTGTGATGAATTCTGTCATATATCATCATGATTATATTAACCACGTTTTTCCCTTTATTTTCATTTCTAACTGTTTGTAGTCTACATTTGTAGATAGTGTACAAGATCAACTTTTTGTCACAAGCTTTCAAACTGATTTTAAATACAGTAATTACATATTAATTTTAGTTAAGCTTACTTAATGTATGCGTAATAATGGCCACCAGCAGCACTTCCCGAATGTATCATTATGGAAAACAACTCATACAAATATGGACCCTGTGGATAGAAAAAAAAGTAGAACTTAAAATACTGAAATGTATTACAGTATCCAATTGATCAAGATGTTTTACTGATATTAATCTAATGAAACTAGGCATTGTCTAAAAGCTCATCAATGCAAATCACAAGTATACTCTTACCAAGTAAAAATTAGCTAAGTTTCACCACAAAAAACAAAATTAGGTTTGGGCATCTATTGAATAAACTGTTATCACAGAGATATGTCTCGCCTTTTTGTAATTTTGATAATGCAAATGTTGAAATAAAAATAGCAAATATTCAGTCGATGAACCATGACTGAAGGTACATGGCTGAACAATCTCCATGGAATGAGATGTGCCAATGCTAATACAACTGCATACCAAATACCATTGACTTATCATAAGTTGTTCCCTTTAAACAAACCTAAACACAACCATTAACTTGTAAACTATGTAAAAGTTTCAAAGTCAATGAACCATGATCAGGGGTGGGGCTATATAATCTCCATGGAAACGATACTTGCAAATGCCAATAAATTTGCATACCAAATATCATTGACTTAACATTAGCAGTTCATCTTAAACTGATCTAATCACAAACTAATACATGTAAACTAAGCAAAAGTTTCAAAGTAAATAGACCATGACTGAGGGAGCGGGGCCAAATATTCTCCATGGAAATGAGATGTGCTAATGCTTATACAACTGAACACCAATTAACATTGGCCTACCACTAATGGTTCCCCTTGAACTGACCTAATTACAAACTAATACATGTTAACTTAGCAAAATTTTCAAAGTCTATAGACCATGACTAAGGGGGCGAAGCCAAATAATCTCCATGGAAATGAGATATGCCAATGCTTATACAACTGCATACCAAATATCATTGACCTACCACTAGTGGTTCCCCATAAATTGACCTAATCACAAACTAATACATGTTAACTATGAAAAGTTTCAAAGTCAATAGACCTTGACTGAAGGGGCGGGGCCAAATAATCTTCATGGTAATGAGATGTGCCAATGCTAATACAACTGCATACCAAATATCATTGACCTACCATTAGTGGTTCACTATGAACTAGACCTAATCACAAACTAATACATTGTTGACGCCGCCGTGGTTGTCGCCGACGCCGGAAACAGCATACCTATGTCTCGCTTTTTGACTCCGTCAAGGCGAGACAAAAATGGATTGATAAAATGACAGACATGGGTATTAAACAATTAATGTATTCCCCAGGACATTTCCTTTCAAAGACCTCTTCTTCAATGTTTTCAATATTTTTTCATACATTTTCTTTCATAGTCATGCAGCTGCACAAGATTTAATCTAAAACGTACCTGCTTCTTCATTTCCTGTGCGTTTCTGGAATTAGCAGCAGCTTCGTTGAGTAGACTAGAGGAATCACTTCCTGATGAAGCTCCAGACACACAATTCTCTACCTCAATACCTTCATCTATACCTGTAAAACAGTACTTTAATATGTAAAGGCTTATATAAACATACCTCAGAGATATTATAGGACAGAACTTTTTCTAGTCAGTGGTTATAACTTTTTAAGATTTACATTTTTTCACTTATATATTAGATTTGTCCACAGATTGTTTACTTAATTGGTCACAATATAGTTTTCTGTAGGTTATTCTCAAAATGAATTTTTTGTTTTTAATGTTGTATGGTTGCCATATCATTCACAGAAACTCCCTGCTGTTCTTTCTGGTAATTTGGAAAACAAAGTATCCTCAAGAAAAACACATGACTCTTTCATTTCAATTTTTATTCTGTTTTGAGATTGTTATTTTCTCAGCAATACCACAAAAGTCAATTCAAAGAATTTCCCATTTTTATAGGAAAACTTGGTTTAAGACCTTGATAAACTGCCTACCTTCATCACTACTATCCTCCGCAGGATCAGGTATAACTTTCTCTGATGTACACTCTGTGGAATTTGGGGTTGATTCTACTAAATGATTCAAATCTAATATATCTGGAAATGTCATTCTGTAAAAGAAAATTCAAAACACATTTATATCATTTCACACTTTATATAGATATAAGAAGATGTAGTATGAGTGCCAATGAGACAACTCTCCATCCAAGTCAAAATTTATAAAAGTAAACCATTATAGGCCACTTATATTCTTTTAAGACAGGAAAACAACAAATTGTTAAGGGTACACATTCAAGTGTAATCAAAACTTAGGTGATGATTGGAAATTCTAATTTGAATAGATTTTTGGATTACATGGAATTCAATTCCATATTGGAACGTTGGTAGTTTTTGTTGAATTCACTCATAACTTGACTAGACAATCACTCGTTGTAGTACTCAGTACATCTCCACTCATTGTTCAAAGTACTTGAAAACAGAATGTAGTTGTCTAGACAGATCCAATAAGCCACTCATATGTTACAAGTCATTGCTGTGAAGTTGCCGATCAAATATGAAGTCATTCTATTCACCAGTACATGGAAAACTGTGACAAAAAGATTTGTTAGGACAGACAAATTGAATGCAATACAGCCACAATTCTTACACCAATGAGGGTTTAATATCACATTTGACATGGACCCTTGTATATCACTTCGACAGAAGTTTACCTCTAGATGTCTTTTATGGCTTCAATGTGCAGTTAAGTTGATTTATCGGCAATTTAAACATTTTTCCTTTGATTTTACTGCCTAATATTTTTAATATCATGGACATGACTTGATACTCGAAAATATTAGGCAATGACGTCATGTTTTAGTGCAACAATGTCACGTACTCAAGTCCATCCGCATCAGTTTATCAATGAAATGCACGCGACTTCATTCATACAACCGAACAACTATCCCAATGTTTTGAACGTGTAAAAGTAGTTTTACTAACTATTTCATTTCACTTCATGTTTTCAACCAAAATAACATACAGTTAAGATAAATTGACGATAAAACGAATAATAATGGCATTTTATTTTTATGATACTGACTTCATCGGTTCGAATATTCTTGCCGATAAAGCCAGTATCAAAAACAAAAATGCTATTATTCTATATGTCTCAACTGTGGTTTTACTGATAAAATAAGAAATTTTGTACCTTTCATTTAATTTAATCCTATGCATTGTATTGTAGTCAAAATCAAATCTTTTCAGCTGCAATGTTAAGAGGTAGGGGAACGTCTCAAATTTAAATCCCTGCAAAACAAAAAATAACAATTGAAATGTTGAATGTTTGAAGAAAGACACACATCTGAAATACCTGCATAACATATCATAGTAAACATGCATCTCCTATTAACCTATTTTTTTTTTTTTTTGTTGAAGCATGCTTTTAAGATTCAAGCAAGACGGATTTATACAATGTCTATTTTCCTGGCCTTGCAATGTAATTTCTGTATAAGGGATCCTCAATAATTAAAACAAATTTTGATGGCATTGATGGTGTGAAAAGATATAATTTTCTAACTTTTAACTTTAAGTTCTCAGCAGTAAATTTCATTTTTTAAATCTATCTTTCACAAATCACAATACGTTCATAACATTCCTTCTTATATATGTCTGTGTTACAGTTGAAAAGCAAGTCAAAAATACAGTTTTGTAAAATTTACTCAAGGAAGTGTTGGATTTATCTGTTATAGAAAATTCTATGTGTTTTTTTACACTGAAGTGTTGATTAACATACCTTATGGGCATCACATTTCTTATTACATTTCTCACAAAAGTACTGATTTGTGTCATTCAGTATTTCAGGATGTACAAAAGCATCTATTGCTTCTTTCTACAAATTCAAAAAAGATATTCATTAATATAAACATCAAATGGTAAAAATAATATGGTAGTTTTTGCTGTATTACCAGCTCTCTAGATGAGCTTTTTGTTGTTATGTTGATGTCACATTTACATTTTTCATACATTTCCAGATATTCATTTAAATTCTAAGCATGAATCATAATTTTTTCCAAGTTATCAACATATTAATTTGGCTCAAATACCTATGGCACTTTTTAGATACACACATTTTTTTAGCTGAATGTTATAACAATAAATTGCTTCGCTGAGCGCAGCTATATACGACTGCAGATGTCCAACCCTGAAAAGTTGGGGCCAAAATGGACACAATATTCATGCTTGATACAGGTCTGAATTTGGATTGTAATTAAATTTTTAACACATAATAGGTTTCTGACATAGAATAGCTGTAGTCAAAGAACTTCAAATTGGTTATATGATTTGAATTTATATTCAAAATTTTTTGCTTTTGTGCAATAAACTATGCGTATTGACCCCCCTCCCCCCCCTCCCAAAAAATTTGTTTTACCCTGTTTTTTTTTTAGTGCAATACACTATGCTGTTGAATATTAACCCCCTAAAAAAAATATTTGAAGAAATTTTCTTTTAATTTCTGAAATCTGAAATGAGAAAGATTGTCCCCCTCCAATTTTTTACCTACACCCTTTCCCTTATTCCAAAAAATTATTCTTTCCCTCAAGTTATGGTCAGTATCTCAGACAATCATCATTACTTAATACATAATTTACAAGCAGTGTAAGGGAGGTAATCAAACATTGTTATTTAAATTGATTTGGATTTGGATTTGGATTACCTCCCTCACACTGCTTTTAAATTGTCTCAATTGTCCTTTAACCAGAAAAACCCTTGTTTTTCCCCTTTTTTTGCCCCTAATTGTTTGAGCCATAACCCCCCAAAGTCAATCTTAACCATCCCTTTGTAGTATGGAAACTTGTGGTATAATTTCAGAGAGATTCATACACTTTAACACAAGTTATTGTCTGGAAACTACAAAAATGCTTATTTGGGCCCCTTTTTTGGCCCCTAATTCCTAAACAGTTGGGACCATAACCCCCAAAATCAATCCCAACCTTCCTTTAAAGGTTATAAACCTTGTGTTAAAATTTTATTGATTTCTATTTACTTATACTAAAGTAATTATCCGGAAACTATCTGTCTTCGGACGACGCTGACGACGATGATGACAACGTGATACCAATATACGACCAAAAAATTTTTAATTTTTGCGGTCGTATAAAAATTACTAATAATACATCTTAATATGCAGAAATACTTACCACAGAACTGTAAGCTGTCTGTGATCCAAATGGACGAATTACCAATGGTATGTCTAAATACGCATCCACTCTAGCACTTTCATTTTTACACTGTCAAGATAAACATATACACATCAGCATCATTTACAGTTTGTTCAAAAATAGGGTTTTTTACAACTTAACAATTCTTATAGTATTTTTCCTTATTTCCATGAAGATTGGAGATATTTCCTTTTAAAATAGATACATAGAAAGATTTACACAATAGACATTGCTTGTACCCTTGTTGGTAACAAAAGATTTTTTGGATAGACAATGTTCCCCTCAACTGTTTTTAGAAACAATATAAACACCTTGATATCTTGAGTTAATTTTTCCAGAGTTGACTGCTGTGTTATCTGGACCAATTCACTTACAAATCAATGATTGTCCTTCATGTAAACTTGGAAAATTCAATTACAAACCTTACAAAAAAGTTGACCTTTACTTTCCTTTAAAAACAGGGGCTAAATCAGGCATACTAGTAGAAACTTAATTAAACCCAATTTGTCAGCAAGAAATTTGCCTATTTTTTTTTACCTCTAAACATTTGACATAATCTTTCATTTTGCCCTGATACAGATGATTAATCAGATTAGCCTGGTCTGTGTTCCTCCATTTCGATTCTAGGGCATCAAACATCACCCGACATAGTTCTTGGACATCATGTTGCTGCCAAACTGAAGTAAAAAATAAATGCTATGTCTATCAAATACATACATTTTATATGCAGGGAAAAGAGCTTTACATAGATCACAATATTTAGCTTGAAATATTCAATTATAATCAAAGGAGTAGGTCCGGTAAGGGCCGATTTTGGCCTCAAATATCAAATACACATGAATAAATATGGAACTAATGCCTACCTTCACTACTATCCCAACCAAAACTTCTAGTAAGTTCTGTGGTCTCCACTGCTCTCTTCTTACTTGTCTATAAAAATACATACAAAAGTATTCATTACAGTTATTCATCATTTACTCGAACCTTGCACAATTTATTACTGCAAATTCAGAAATGTTTATGATGATTCTATAAAAGTGCAAAAATATGATAAGGTACGTACCACATCAGTAAGAACTTGCATTTTCAATACTTAAACCATTGTTTGTATGTTGCATATCAACGGGAATTAATATTACCATAATTACACCTTATTATATATAAGCATTCTTGATTTTGATTGGTTGATGGCTAGTGTATCTTTCATAATTTTTCTTTTATAAGATGAACATTATTCAAGTTTCAGCATTTCCAGTATAAATGCACAAGGAAAGCCTGATTTACCCTCTCTGCCATGGTATTTGCCAAAACATAAATGCCTTTTCAGTCCTTGAAAGAGAGGCTTGATTAATTTGGGCTTTATCTATTATGTTTGTTTTTGCTAAGCTAAGGAATAATGGAATTTATTTTCAAATATTTTTCTTAGCTATATCTTGATACTGAGTGTTATCAAACAGATATTTCATGTTTAGGGGGATACTTTGAAAAAATCTTCAGAGTCTTCAGAGGAAATTAAACTTCTCTCAACTAGTTTTTTTTACAAAAACCCCTTTGAACATTCCGGTAATATATATTTCTTTAATTTTCGTGCTATTTCCACATGTCTCAGTTGGTGTGAGAAAAATATTTCTCCTCTCTAGAGAAAACTTTGTTCTCGGCAAATGATTGGTCAAAATTTCAATTATGACGTCAAATTTTGTTGATTCTTCTGAATTTCCTATTGTGACGTCTGGAAAAAAGGCGACTTTGCCTGATGACGTCACATATAAACACAACAATCTTTGAAGAGGAAGGATAAACTTGTTTAGACAACTTCTTAAAATCATTATAGAAACAGATTGTACCACTATATCTCATGTATTATAATATTTCTCCTCTCTCAACAGTTAAATTTCAAAAATTTTAAAATGCTCGGCAAGCCTTGTGTTTTTAAATTTTTAAATTTAACTGTCTGGAGTGGAGAACTATTGTAACACACTTGATGCAGTGGTGGAATCTATATATATCTGTTCAAAAGTTTCCCCCTTTTTTCATGTATCAACATATTGAAAGAGATCTACGATTAAATAGTGTTGAGATAATAGTACCTGTAGCTGTAAGAAAAGTTTTTGTAGTTGGTATGGTATACTTTTAAAAGCCTCATCTTCTGATCCATCAAACTCCCATCTGTATTCATATCAATAAAACATTGTAATTAATTTATATGTTTAAGGCTCCGTGTTGAAGACCGTACTTTGACCTATAATGGTTTACTTTCATAAATTTTGACTTGGATGGAGAGTTGTCTCATTGGCACTCATACCACATCTTCTTATATCTATTGTTATCTCAATGTAAGCTTACATGTTTTCTTACTTATCTTACTAACTTGAATTTGAATTTGAAAAGGTTATTTCACATTTAATGGAAGTTACTCATCACCATAAGTACTACTAAACAGCAGTGTTATTGAAATTCATTTATAATTCTATTATACAATTTGATTTCATTGAAAATGTACTGAACTATATTTCATAGTAACTTAATTTTGAAAACTTGTGTAATATATTTCTAGACAAGGAAGTGAGCTATGCAGTAATATTAACGACAAAATTGCTCATGCTGTCAACAACATATTGGGGCAAGATGGAATTTTTAAATATGCTGACAAAAAACTTAATATCAAGTTTTACCTTGTGAGAACTCGAGAGCTTTCCACATTTTCCCCACCTTATTACAACACATGTGAAGGCTTTTAGGACTTTTATGATATACAAAACATGTAAAAAAGGAGAAATGAAAAAAGAAATAGGACTGCATTTATAACAAATGGAAAATTAAGCAAGAATCAAATAAATAGTCAAGACTAATAGATCCATACAATGAATTAGTTTTAACAATACGTAAGTTAATGGAACAACTTGTTTCCTTTATATTTTCAAAACTATACTGGGGAAGTGTTTATCTATCTTACCGATATAAAGCATTCCTGAATTCTGGTGTCATATACAATGTCTGTATCAAACTGTTGAGGTAACATGTCATTGCTTGATTGACCAGTCCAACATAACCTGTAATATAATAACAAAATTCATAACTGGTTTAAAATAACCAAATAACATGTGCAATGTAGCAAACAGTTTTTTTGCTCTGTGTTGAAGGCCTCACTGTGACTTTGAGATGAAGAACAGCAATAAAAGCACTGTTCTTTTGCTTTTTGTGTGTTTTTTGGCTGTGCATGTACTAATTTTGTGTCATGGATGGATACCCCATATCCTTTGTTTTTCTATTAAAAACTAATCATAAACTTTTGACTAAATAGCTAAAAATTACATGGGCAATTTAACAGAAAATTTCAATCACTGCTTTGCCTAAAGAGTGAAAAGTTTCCAGCAACACAACAAAAAAGACAAGCTATAGCTTGTTCAACCAGTCCAAATAATCTTTAACATAACATTTTAGCAATCTTTTAATTGTCCCATACTTTGCTCAATATTAGCTTGAAGAATTTCTACTAAGACAAATAACAAAATGTTTTTTTTACATACTTCAAAATGATCACCATGATCACAAGCTAACCAATCCCTGATCTTACTTCTATATACATAATGTTGACACTCAAAACAAACATGCTTCCAGAAGACAACTGAGACAGTGTCAGTGGTCCTCAGATAATGCTGTTGTCAGGAATAACTGTTATAAGTATGTAGATATTTACCTGTTTCTGATTTTAACATGATTGAGGCATATGTATAGCCAGAGTCTGGATATGTGGAGACTGTGTCGTTAGTGGCTGTGGAACCAGATATGTAGGATGAAGATGTGGATGCCACACTGTCATAACTTGGTGGATCTGGAGCTGGCTGAAAAATAATGAAATTCACAAATGATGATAATTTCTAGTGTTCAAATTTCTCAAAACAGTAAACAAAAAAACACTTTATTTTTTTCCTTTTTGAGGTTCACTGCATTCTACTATTTTGACGATACCTGTTACCTACAAAAGCAAGAAATTTTAAATGCAGAAAAAAAACTGAAATAATGATAGTCAACAGAACGTGTGTCAACAATATATAAAACTAAGAAACTGATTACCCACAAATATGTGACTGCAACATTACCATAACAGTTGGTTGGATACATGGAAAATAACTGTCATTAGAATGTAGATTATTGTCTGTAGCACCCAGAATTTATTTATGGTCTTTATGGATATAAATAGAAACTATAGATACAAAATCATTCATGTGTAAAAACCTATAAAATAATAGAATTTTGTTTTTGATACTGACTTTATCAGCAAGAATATCAAGTGAACCCGCAAGGGAGAGTTGATGAAGTCAGTATCAAAAAATTTATATGCCATTATTCTTGTCTTAACAATATGTTTGTTGAGAATATGAAATAAAATGAAATAGTAAACAAAACTATTTTTACGCCTAGAAAATGTTGTGATAGTTGTTTGGTTGTATGAATGAAGTCGTGTACATTTCATTGATAAATTGATGGACATGAATGCATGCATTGCTGCACTGTTACATGACATCTCTGCCTAATATTTTCGAGTATCAAGTCCTGACCATGATATAATAATATATTAGGCAGTAAGATCAAAGGGAAAATAGACAAATTGCCGATAAATTGTAGAAGAGTGTAAGGATTGTTGATCAAGTCTAAAGATCTTACTGTTTTTTAAATCAATCCTCTGACCTCAATTAAATGACTTACTGGAATTTCTGATAGTTTTTGTGGCAGCGTGTCCTCTTTCTCCACCACTGTAAATTCATGTCGTCTTGTTCCAAGCATACAAATATCTGATAACTTCTGATTTGCACAAGTATACAAGGATATCTAGAAGAAATATTGTAAGTTCTGATCATTTATTAAATGCACTTTTCCCATTGTAATCAACTAGAAAAATTCCAATTTAAAAACTTTGTTTCTGTAGTGCATGTCGAACAGATTTTGACACATATAGATATATGTCAGGATGTTAATTTCATTGATTTCATAGTGACAATAATGACATACAAATGACCTTTGCTTAAAGAGCAACAAACTATCTTAGGAAAAAGTAATAGATTTCTATATTGGTGTATAGCCGTAATACATTTTGACAGTTCACTTTATCATAATTCCAATGTTATATGATTAGTCTTATTAACGTGGTATCGAAAGGAAAATAACAGTTTATTTACAATGCCTATATTCAATTTGTTTATATACTTTATAAATATGATATGTTGGCCTTATACTTAAAATTGTGTTTCTATTAATAACATAAAGGAACAGGACATTAAAAGGGGGAAATATTGTAACCATCAATGAAAACTCGTATAATTTACGGGATTGATGTCTCAACATTTTGATTAAAACTTCGATTGAAAACAGTCCTGGTTGTTATAATTTTGAATAAAATGAAATATTTACGGTTTACAAATACAAATAGTTTATTGGCACAAACACAATTATTATAATTGGCAACACATTTTTACAGTACATTGTTAAAAATCGTCTTTCTTTCATTTTCAAGTTAAAAAAATGTTGATCCCATATTCATATTAAATTGTTATCATGGTTATTGTTATTGTAATTTTTTCTTTGAATACAAAACAATATTTTACATTTATTATCTATCCTCCATAAATACTAAAATATCTGTACAGGTAAAATTTAATTCTAATCAAGCTGGTACAGATTGATTTACAACCTTCCACTGGATATTGTACAGGTTAATATCACAGCAGGTGTTAATTACACTGAGACAACTGTCCGACCAGCCTGACATCTAGACGGATTGAGACATCCATAATAATAAGTCTCTACCCGTACTGTATAGGTGAGATCTATGGCAACCAAGAGATTTATACAGTATAAAGTATAAACTCGCTGCATGAAGTCATAAGCATTAATTCCCCACACACCAAATACTAGTTCTGTAAGTGTAACTACATACATGTGTTCTATAAATATTTGCTAGGGCCATACTTTTCAGAGTATTTTATTGGAATCATAAGTAATAAAGTTATTATCACAGAGTTTATTGATGCGTAAATATATTTGGCATTTCGCCCACAAACTCAAAATATTCAGTTTGTGGGTGAGTCAACTCCTTCAAAATAACTTTTATCAAGTTTATCATTATAATGAATAAATAGAGTATAGTTTCAGGTTTAAATGAATAACGGTGTTCATAATTCATACATTGTACTTATGTAGAATTTTTTTATTCTGCTAAAGTTTTATTTTCATTTCTTTTTTTCTGTTCCAAGATTTACTTTATTTTACTTTGATATACCATGATAATCATGTAAGGTTGAGCACATAACTAGAAATAATTAGGAGTAGAGGAAATATGTATCTACCAGTAGAACAGTACTTAAATGATACATATATACATGTACAGTAAAAAAAACAAGTGGAAAAACCCTGAGCAGTACAATACTTTTATAAAAAAGATGTGGTACGATTGTAAAATGAGACAACAATCGACCAGAGTCAAAATGACATGGATTTAAGCAGCTGTAGGTCGCCTTATGGCCTTCAACAACATTAATTTAATAACTCATAATAAATATTCAACTGAAAGCTGAAAGTGATCACAGTGAAATTTTGAAATCTGAAGTCTTTTTGTGACCTGACAGGTGTGTATTAGTTATGTATTTTACCTCTTCCATTTCTGCTGCCACTTGTTTGTTGTATTTTATGTTGATACTGCTGGCAATGTATCTTGTTGATTTGGATATCTCATCGATCACATCTCCAATAGACGATGATGCTGGCAGATTTATCGTCTTTTTACTTCCAGCAGCATTCGGATCTATCATGTCACGGATGACACATAGAATCCGAGGTTCTTCTGCTACACAAACATTCTGCAATAAAATTCAATTTTCTGTTGAAGTATTGGGACAGTTGTGATCTCCCTCACTTTATGGCAGGATGTTTATTTTTCTCCTATTCATAGTAAAGGACATATGCTGATTAAAGGTTAGGTCAAAGTAAAGGAAGAGGTGATACAAAATTTTAAAGAGCTTTAACATTTGATTGATTGATTGGTGTTTAACGCAACTTTCAGCACTATTGTGCTCTTTTGTGGTGGTCAGTTTTTATTGGTGGAGGAAGCTGGAGTGCCCAGAGAGAATCACCATCCTTTGGTAGGAAAACTTGACAATCCTTGTAAATTAAGATTGGAGTCAAGTGCACTTGCCACATGCAGGATTCGAAATCACAACCTCAGTGTTGACAAGCTAGTGATACAGTAGTTTGACTACTAAAACCAATCGGCCTCTGAGGCCCCATTTAACATTTGAAATGCAGTGTTTTATTTTATGAATTGATACATACAGAAATCTTAATTTTACTCAAGATATAGTTTCTGATATGAAGAACAGGATATATTAGATATACATCATTGACACAGAAACCATACAACATAAAATAAATGTGGATTGTGTCCACATGTGGACACAGATGATGCCCCCGCTTGCATATCATATAGTTATAAAGGGACATAATTGAAGAACGGTAAAAGTGACGCTACCCAAATTTGAACTTGATCTGAGTTTTGTTGTAAAAAGCATTGTGTGTAAGTCTCATAACATTTGGTTGAGGCAAACTTAAGTTAGAGAACGGAAACTAAAAATTTTGCAATTTTTCCATTATAAAGGGGAATAACTATAGAACCGTTTAAGTGACGCCACCAAAATTCAAACTTGATCTGTGTTTTGTGGTAATAAGCATTGTGTATAAGTTTCATAACATTTGGTTGAGGCAAACTTAAATTAGAGAACAGAAACTAAAAATTTTGCAATTTTTCCATTTATAAAGGGGCATAACTCTAGAACCGTTTAAGTGACGCCACCAAAATTCAAATTTGATCTGTGTTTTGTGTTAATAAGCATTGTGTATAAGTTTCATAACATTTGATAGAGGCAAACTCAAGCTAGAGAATGGAAACCAATTTTTGGACGTACGGACGGTCATTCGTACGTACAGACGAACAAGGGTAAAACTTAATGCCCCCTCCGCTACGGCGGGGGCATAAAAAACAACATGTTCTTTAATTTCAGCAGAAAGACATATTTATATTGTACATATCCCAACTCTTAGCTTTCATATTACATATTTCTGACCACATGCTATATTGTGACTTGACTTCTCACTAAATATTTATTGTTTGTTAGAACAATAGGCAGATATATTTTCGTTTGTGCTTTTTGCTGTCTTCCAAGTATTTTTCAAATTCTTAAGTCATATAATGAAGCAAAAGTGAACGATCAAATTTTCAACTTGACATTAAGCAGAATTAATAATCACGTTTGTCATACATGTACAAGTCTCCATTAAAGAGTCCATTTCTAAGAAACTATCCAACACAAAACTCAAAATCTTCAAAAATGGACACAAGTGTTAAACATGTTAAAAGGGCATTAGCTAGGATTCATTAAAAAAACCAGAAATATCAATTTTTGTTTTCGTTTTATTCTGCTGTCAAGATCAAAGGGAACATGGATATATGACAGAGTTTGAAAAGTTATAAAAACTTACAGGCTGACGACTTCTTTTACTATGTTAAGGGTTAACGTTAGAACAATTTTAAACATTTGTTGTCATAACTAAAAAGCTATTGTTGCATGACGTGAGAAGGTTATTTGGAAACAAATCTAGGGTCATTTGTAGACCATTCATCTACATGTAAATACCCAATAGGTTAAATACTTTAAACATGGAGACTGCAAAATCAGTAAAATAAATTATGAACTCCATATCCCGACAGAGATTACAATTCAAACCATGGTGACACTGGCTTAACAAGCAAACAGTTTGCTTTATATATCTGTATATATTCTATTCTATTCTGTATATGTACGCTGTTAACATCAACATCAGGAAAGTGTTTTGCAGATTATTTATGAGGGTGCATCATTTATAAGAGTTCTCAAATGGCTTAATTTATAACCCTCGGTACTTCATCATATTTTAATTGTAAGTTTTCTGGTTTATTCACTAAATGTGTACTTTGTTTACATAAAATAATAATGAACTAATCAATAAAACATGCATTAGAAAGCTATGATACATGTAATGTTCATTGAATCGTTTAAGGAAGTATAAAAACTCATGGTTTTCGTTTTGACAACAGAGGACACACAACATTTTGTCTCACCTCTGTTGGGACAACTTGTGAGTTGTCACCTGTAACCATTTTAACTTGTTATTTCTTTAATATCTTGTCATTTAAAGGTTTTTTTCACCCCATAGTGATAGGTGCATTGCAAATTTCACAATGATGGCCGACTTGCTGAATAAGTGGAAGATTTTAAAATAACCATCATTAATCATACATATGTATATATTATATACAGTATCGGTTCAATCTTGTTTTATATAATTACTTCATCTGTTGACAATGCTCCTTCTTGGATTTATAAAAAGAATCAATGGTCTTTTCTCTGTTTTTTTTTTGGTTAATAATAGCATTAGAACTAATCATTATATCCTTGGTAGCAAATGTGGCAGAATAATTAAGGTGGCACTTTATGGAACACCCTTCCAAACCATTTCAGGATTGAAAATAGTTTTTCACATTTTAAAAGTCTTGTTCAGTCCTGGAACGGTTTGGAATGTCGCTGTTCTGCTTGCAGATAACTCTTGAGCTGTTTCTTATTTATGTTGCTTTTTGTTGCTTTGGACTAGTATTGATGTATTTCTTAACGAATTTTTATATATATTTAAATTTTAATTTCTGACACATATTTCCAGAAATTGGGTGATCAATTCATGTTGAAAATATCCTGTTCTTTGAAATTTCTAGATTTCAAAGCATATATTATAGTTCTAAACTTTTTTATCTGATTTTTATAAAAGAAATCTATTTATTTAAATAGTTACCATATTTTAATCTTAATTTTAAACTTTTATATAGGTAAACAATGTTTTACTTCATTCTAAATCTGTTGCTTAATTTTTATTGTATGCTATGTGTGTGAGATTCAACTTTGTATTACAGGTTGTTTTATATCTTATATATATAGACTGTTTTATGTTATGTATATGTTTTTATCTTCGGTCAAAAGCTCCTTAATTAGAGCTTGTGTTGTATAACTTATGCCGAATCAAAATAAACGGGGAATTTTTCTTATCTTATCTTATGGCAGAATGGCAAAATTATAGAAATCAGTTTATTGATGGTGGTCGCGTCGGCCTTCTAATGTTTTTTGTATTATGTGGTTAGGAATTTCATGGCACGATGCCTGAATATTGTATATAGATATAAAGAGATGAGGTATGAGTACCAATGAGACAACTCTCCATCCAAGTCAAAATTTATAGAAGTAAACCATTATAGGTCACAGTACGGTCTTCAACACGGAGCCTTGGCTCACACCGAACAGTAAGCTAGAAAGGGCCCCAAAAAATTACTAGTGTAAAACCATTCAAACGGGAAAACCAACGGTCTAATCTATATAAAAAACGAGAAACGAGAAACACTTATGAACCACATCAACAAACGACAACTACTGAACATCAGATTCCTGACTTGGGACAGGTGCAAACAAATGCAGCGGGTTTAAACGTTTTAATGGTACCAAACCTTCACCCTTTTTCTGAAACAATAGTGTAACATCACAACATAGAAACCCACACTATAAAATATCAACTGAAATAGCTTAACTCAATCAAAGGACATATTAACACCATTGAACATACACTGAACAAATAAATTTGACCTATGACACAATGTAAATACAAAATAAATAAACTAAGGGAAGAATAATAAAAGTAACATGTTATATAGTGTTTTTCCTAAGATTTCAATCATCTCGGAACAAAGATTTAACGACCTCAAAGCCGAGTATTTTTTTCAATAAAAAAGAATGCATATGCAGAAAATATATTGCAGTAATATGGAAAGTGCAAAAGCATTAAGGATCAGTCTTGCTGCACGCTTTTGTAATAAAACTTTCAGAGATATGTTCTTAAACGACACATAAATTTTAACCCCATTCTAGATGATATTTTTGAAACCAATATTGTTTCTATGTCTCCACCACGACATGAGTTATCAATAGTTATTTCTAGCAAAATTTTATATTCAACAATTTCTCATAATGTATTGTCGTACATTACATTCAGATTGCAATCAACCGTTTGTGTATTGCGATTTGATCAGTGGCGGATCCAGGGGGGATATGGCGGTTGAACTTCCCTTTGTTTTGACGATCAATGCTTTTGAATGGGAAAATATGATTGGACCCTGGACCCCCCCCCCCCCCCCTTTATATGGCATTGTTTATAACCAAGTTTCCAGGGGAATATCTGATAGGCGGAACACATATATGTTGACATGTATATCATCTGCATACAAATAGGATATCTCATGATGTTTTCAAGTAAAAAAGTATGTCATTAATTCATACATAAAAGGAATAAAAAGCTAGGGGCCATAAATACTTCTTTAATTGTGGTATTCCAAAATTACAATATTCCTTACGGACCATTATAACTTTCTGAGATCTCTCATGCAAACATGGCAAATAAGGCGTAATTAAATTACAAATTACAATATCTGATGGACGATTCCTTACGAACCATTGCAACTTTCTGAGATCTCTCGTGCAAACATGGCAAATAAGGCGTAATTAAATTACAAATTACAATATCTGATGGACGATTCCTTACGAACCATTGCAACTTTCTGAGATCTCTCGTGCGAACATGGCAAATAAGGCGTAATTAAATTACAAATTACAATATCTGATGGACGATTCCTTACGAACCATTGCTCCTTTTTGAGATCTCTCGTGCAAACATGGCAAATAAGACGTAATTAAATTACAAATTACAATATCTGATGGACGATTCCTTACGGACCATTGCAACTTGGCTTCAGACATCTCTCATGAAAATTAGGCGTAATTAAACCATTTTATTCGGATAATGATCATGTAAGATTTTAGTTCAGCTTTTAAAATGAGTAATCAGATATTTTATTTCATTAAGAAATAACATTCCAGTATAATTTCTATTATCCATTTCTTTCAATTTCCCATTAAACTATGGAAACGGCTTATAGTTCACAAATTTGCATGTCATATATATAGCGAGTCAGGTCCTGATATGTTCTGTTCATAAAGAATTGCTTTAAACCGCATATTTTTTACGCGACCTGCCATCATTTGATTTTTATTTATTTCTGTGGTACAGTTTGACGTAGCTTACGTTGATACAACCGAGGCCTCGGTAAAAAAAAATAAATAAAAAACATTTTTTTTTATAATCTTTTAAACAAGATGCACAAAATGCAGCAGGCTCGCTACTAAAGAGGGTGGTAAAGGGTTATTTTCGTGCAACGTGTTTTGCCATTTTTATTTCACGTGCAGCCGTGAAAAAAGTTGTTATTCACCGTGTTTCGTGAAATCGATAAAAAGATCAATGTGCAAGGAATTTTTTAATTGTTCGTTCATCGTGAAATGGCAATTTTAATTCGCGTTCTTCCGTGCAAATACACCCCCCCCCCTTTTACGCCCCTCACTAAACGCTAATATACCGACTTGTATCGTCTTGTTTGTCGTTATTGATTCATACCATTTTCGAATTTCAAGACTTATGGAAACATTTCGTTTGATGTGTTTGAGCTTTTGATTTTGCCATTTGATTAGGGACTTTCCTTTTTGAATTTTCCTCGGACTTCAGTATTTTTGTGATTTTACTTTCCCTCCCCTAATTGGAAATCCCGATCCCTTTGCGGTAGTTTTCAGTAATCTAAATGTGTCGGAGTCAAAGAAATCGACACAATTGAAGCTGGAAAATTTATATAATCCTACCCAAGCAAAATCAGAATAGATGATGCGGATCCAACTCACGAGCCTTCTCCGATCAATCGCGTAGCTAGGCCATTTTTAAGTGTACGCCCGAACCACGGCAAGGGATCTGAGGGCCCCAGCGGGCCGAGGCAGAGGACCTCCTAGTAGGGGCGAAATCCACCCGGAAGCTATCGAGAAAGATATACTATTTTGGTCATTAAAACTCATCAATAGCATAATACTTGGTCGGTTGAGAACACAGAATTACGATGATAGAGATTTCAGCTTCCCAATTGTTAACTTTCCATTTCTATTGTCAGTTTATTTTCAACTGATGAGTTTGAATATCCCTTTGGAATCTTTCGCCTCTCTTTTTTATTTTAATTTTTTCTTTCATGTTAAATTTATTCATTGTGTTGATTTGGTAATTTGTTTTAGAGGAAAATGTCCAAACCAGCTACTTTAAAAATATGTTTCATTGAAAAGGAGATGTGGGGTAAAACAATCAATCGATTAAAGATTTAAAACTTTATGAAGATAGTTAAAAAAGCAAGTCTGTCGTTCTATTAATTGTTTTAACTTTATCTTATTTTCTCACCTTTTTAGCAGAAAACTTCGTTAATGGACACATGAAATAATTAATCTTCATAGATGTTCAGGTGTAACATAAAAATGCAAGCCAGTCATATCGTATCTCAGCAATGAATGACTTTAAACAATAGTAAACTGAATATATATATATATAGAATTCACAGTAGATTCAAACTCTGACAGAAAATGGACAAATATCTAATATGATCATATAGCATTTGATTAAAAAGTAAATTCCGTCATTTTTATCTTTAATTGCAAATCATTGAAGAAAGCATTACAATAGCTCATGTGCTTTTAACCAGTTTTTTTTAATGTATTTCCATTAAAATATATTTTTACTTAAAATTCATGTGCACGCCCGGGCGTTTTGACGTAAACGTATAGCTACGCGCCTGCCGATCGAATCACTTGACCATTCCGATATTTTATTAATTTTTGTTTGAGAATAATTTTTACTATATGAAGATCTGGGTAAGGTTTACAGAATACAGAAAAATGCCCTGAAATTAATTTAAACTTAAAAGAATAGAAATTTAAAATGGTGCTAAGATATAAAAGAAAGGACAATCAAATTATGGGAAAAAAAATTTAAAAATAAACATTTGAAGACCCCATTCAAACCCTCATATATATAACCGGTAACGTTTAAAATTGAAATATCGTTGTGTGTTGATATCTTCCCCTACGTGTAGTACTTCAATTAGTACACAGAGTTTCATTGACCTTGATACCAAATTAAAATTAAATATATAGCTTGCTGTTCAGTGTGAGCCAAGGCTCCGTGTTGAAGGCCGTACTTATATCTTATATCTAATATTAATTAACATATAAATAAGAAGATGTGGTATGAGTGCCAATGAGACAACTCTTCATCCAAGTCACAATGTGTAAAAAGTAAACAATTATAGGTCAAAGTACGGCCTTCAACACGGAGCCTTGGCTCACACCGAACAGCAAGCTATAAAGGGCCCCAAAATGACTAGTGTAAAACAATTCAAACAGGAAAACCAACGGTCTAATTTAAAACGAGAAACGAGAAACACTTATGAACAACACTAACAAACGACAATCACTGGACTTAGGACAGGTGCATACAAATGCAGCGGGTTAAAACGTTTTAACAGGCGCCAACCTTCACCCTAACCTGAAACAGTAGTGTAACATTACAACATAAAAAGACACACTATAAAATATCAATTGAAATGGCTTAACTCGATCAAAAAGACATTTAAACAAAAACAAGTAAACATACACTGAACGAATAAGTTTGATCTATGACACAATATAAATACAATATTAATAAAAAAAAAGATGTAGAATAATGTCAAAAAGGCAACTTAAACCAGGGACAAAATGGCGTTAAATAAAGTAACGTACACAGGTAAATTTAAATATATTAATTTTGTTGTTTATTTAATAGGAGTACGGAAACATTTTTTACAAAACAAATAAATTTGTTGTTCACAGTACGAGTACAGAAGTGAAATTTATCGTCATACTAAATACTTATCAAAGGTGATACATATTAAAAATAGTGAGACGAGATATAGCACAAAATAAGTAAACATTGAATAACAGAAATGCATTACAAATTGTGTCAACAGGTCAAATTAACACGCAAATACGATTTGAGAGTACTCGCAGTTACTGAAAGCTAGTTAAAAGACAAAAACAATTAATAATAAAAAATCATGCATCAGAGATTAAAATCAATTAAAACACATCCCAGGGATTTAGTGTTTTAATGCCATGGACAGTCAAAGAAGACATTACTTATGGAAACATCGAATCCACAGAAAATAATTTATATGTTGTTCTCAAGTTTTATTCTCGCTATTTTAAATTTATAGTTTCTCACTAGCAGGGAATTTTAAACATTTCAAGGGGTCATTAATTCCAGCGACATATATAGTATATATCTGTTAGTTCATACATATGTCAGTTGCTATATAAAATGTCCAACCAAATACTGTTTTCAGTTATTATGAAAACTTCAGAAAAACGTAAATGTTTCCGTTAGTACTTCACCTGTTGTCACTTTCACAATGGGAAAAAGTACAAAACCATGTAAGAATTTGAAGAACTTCCAAGAAATATCAGGGTCAATCGCAACCCATAAAAGTTCCGTGATGCCCCCAGACCCTCTGCCTCGGTGGTAACAGAAGGCAAGCTACGCCACTGAAGTCCAACCTTCAAGTTCGCTGCGACTGAAGACTTACATATTTAAAGAGATGCCGGGTTCCACTGTAAATATCTAAATCGTATTTTTGAAATAACAGATCTGTATGAATATTAAATAGCTTAGGTGCAGAGTATTTCAATAATGATCTACGTATACACGTCTAAACATGTGACAACTTTTTGACAGACATTCTCCATCGGATAACACGTGGTTATACAGGTCTAACACCAATATATATATATAATTCGTCTCAAATTTAGACCAACAATGTTAGATTTTCGAAATTTGCGTTAGCAAATTTTTGTTCTTCCCATGTGACAACTTTATGACACACATGTTTAGACGTGTATGATAAAATCAAAATTTGATGTGGGGGCATGGTAAGTAACATTATCATCCTTTACGACAAACAACAAAAATAGCTGATCTGAAAGGCACACCATCTACGTGCCACTATACATCATGTACTGTGTTACAACCCTAGATAAAGCCGACCAGAAAAGGCATTACTCGACCAGCGAAAGTTATATTTTTTATATAGCTAGCCTAGGTGGTCAAGTTGTCTAGGGAGCTGGACACAGTGCAGGCAGTATTGCCACGATGTCACATAAGCAAGGATTCGAATCCTGCTGAGGGAAGAACTAACATTGTTGGCTAAATGATTGCAAATGCGACAACTATCCATCAGAAATCAATGGACTAGGATGTACGCAAAAATAGGGCACTGTGCGGCCATAAACAACGAGCAAAACCCATACCTTACAGTAAGCTATTAAAAACCCGGCATGACAAAATGTGAAACAATTCAAAAGAGAAAACCCATGGCCTGATTTATTCACAAAAAACAAAACAAATGAAAAACAAATAAGCACCAACGACAACAACTGAATTAAAGGGTCCTAACTTGAGACTTTGGATGTAGATTTCAGATATATATAGATTGCATGTATATTAAACGGTCAAAAAGCCTTAAGATCTTATGATACTATAGGATGTCAAATGTATTAATTGTACAAAAATTAAAACTGTGAATAAAAATATATCCGATTTCAGAAAAATGTACTTTGAAGGTGATAAAACAAAATACCGCTGACGAGTGAACTACTGATAAAGCATTTGCCATATGTTTAGAGTCTATAGATAAACGCAGCAGATCGATATAGGTGATGTGTCAGCCTAGTCCGAGATTGCTCTGGGTTCAATCTCTAATGTTTAACGAATACTGTAGTAATTGCAATTTAGATTTGAAAGAAAGGCGATGGGGATAGATGCCAATGAGACAGTAAACCAACAACACAGAAAAGATATCTATAGGTTAACATACGATCTTCAACAAAATACCGGTGTCTATATATGATATGTCAAGTTCTACAAGTCATCCCGGGAATACAAGAGTAAAGTGAATAAATCTAACAGAGCCTCAGGTCAGCCATAAGGTTCGAAGCTCGAGACCTGTAGCTTTGAAAGTTTTTCATACACATTTCCTTTTCCACAAATGTTATGAAATGTCCCTTACTTATTCTTGGTGTGGTCAGCCCATAAGTTCGAGGCTCGAGGGCTGTATAGGTTTCAAAGTTTTTCATTCACAGTTCCCGTTCCACACATGTTATGAAATGTCCCTTGCTTATTCTTGGTGTGGTCAGCCCATAAGTTCGAGGTTCGACGTCTGTAGCTTTGAAAGTTTTTCATTCACAGTTCCCGTTCCACAAATGTTATGAAATGTCCCTTACTTATTCTTGGTGTGGTCGGCCCATAAGTTCGAGGCTCGAGGTCTGTATAGGTTTCAAAGTTTTTCATACACAGTTTTGGTTCCACAAGTGTTATAAATAGCCCTTGCTTGTTCTTGGTGTGATCAGCCCATAAATTCGAGGATCGAGGTCTGTAGGTTTCAAAGTTTTTCATACACATACACAGTTTTGGTTCCACAAGTGTTATAAATAGCCCTTGCTTGTTCTTGGTGTATCACCATCAATGTGATATCTCAGTGAGGTGTTCTTGGTGTATCACCATCAATGTGATATCTACGTGAGGAAGTATGGTGTATCACCATCAATGTGATATCTCAGTGAGGAAGTATGGTGTCATCACCATCAATGTGATATCTCAGCGAGAAAGTATATATTTATTTTAAAATTATGATTGGATATTTTCAGTGGAGTTCCAATCGGGTGTTCCGGGGGTTGGAACCCCCTTTTTCGATTTTTTTTTGTGTTTTTTTTTCTGTATGTGTGGTTTGTTTTAATTATGTTAACGTTTCATGGTGTTGCGAGGGTTGGAATCCCCCCTTTGGAAATGGCTGGATCCGCGTCTGCTTTTAGAGAGATCGACATCTAGCAAATCCCCAAACCAGTGTTAAGAGACGTCTTGAACTTGCCGTGAGGTGTGACTACTTTTGTTTCGTCACGGGTGAAGGCCTGTGACTTTGAAATGGAGAACAGCAATAATTAAAAGCACTGTTTATTCAGCATATATGGATTTTGTGTCATTTAAACTGATACACTATATTCTTTTTTCCATTAACAATCAAATAAGATTTGGAGACTTTTCAAGACAGAAAAGACAAGTTTAGAAAGGAAAGAATGAACTAGTTTTGATAGTTATAAGCCGGCCTCCCAAAATTCCGCACATTCTTTATATATGATAGTAAGGTATAAACGGCTCCGACATCACAAAGTGTAAAACAATTCAAACGAGAAAACCAACGGCCCCAGTGAGAATCAAAACAATAAACAAAAAAAAACCCAACATTTAATTACAGGCTTTAGACAGGCACACTATGCAGGATTTTTATGGCGGGATTAAACCAAGTCGGTATTCATGCGTCATTTTTTTAAGTTAAAGGCTTTTTTCCCTTTGTATTAATTTCCAATTTAAAACAAGAATACATACCATTTATCAATTTGCCTGTTTGCACTAGTTAATTAAATGATTAAGTTTTCAGTCAGTACTATATGGCAACGGGATAAGTATAGTAAGATTACTATACAAATCCTTGAATACGGCAGGAACACTGTTTCCAGAATACGGTAACTAGCAAATTTTTCTTTTCTTTTTTTTTTAAATAAAAACTTATAACATCAGCTAGCAATGCTCCTCGTTTATAGTGTTAGTTTAGACACTAAAAGGGGATAATGATTTAAAAAGAATTCACCAAAGTAAATAAATTGCAATTAAATCTTTACTTTGCACGTACGCAATACAAAATCTATGTTGTATTCATTCCCTATTTCGATTGCACAGTTCCTTCCAACTTCCTTTTCCGGTTTCCTGAAGCAGGCAAGATGAGGTGTGTATTCCTCTCTCTACTAAAATCCATCTAATCCTGGAAAACTTGTTTTGAAATTTTAGCTTTTGGCTAACATAAGATAAATTAATATTAAAAAGTATCATTGTATACTTCTTGAAACCATGTTTTGGAGAGGTAACCACATTATTTTCTAACAATTAAAATTGTACTCCACGTTTTCAGACTTGTAATCAAATCAATAGGTGTGATTTATAGATGTGGTTAAAATGTTAACTTTTTGTTATACTTGTTTATTTTGGTATAAGTTATAAAACATTGAAATTTCTGATGATTATTTTCCATACCAAATGTACAAGTTTGTTTAGATTAACATCAAAATGATATGCTTTGCTTCATGGTTTGATAATTTGATGGAAAAAAATTCTTACTGGAACCAACATCAAGAAAACATTAATTTCTGAATATGGTTGAAATACAACTTATGTTCTCCAGCTAAGTCTAGCAATATTCAAGGTAATTTAATACACTGTCCAACATTGCCCTTGAAATCTGGGTTATAATGCTAAAGTGCCCTTTCAGACAACTAGCACCCTTCTGCCCTGAGATTCAAGCTGGAACACTGTTAAGTATCGCAGGGATTAGCATATCCTCACATTTTAAAACATTGCCCATTTCATAAATTGTGCACCATATATGAGATGAGTTCAAAGTGCAACTAGTATGTACAGTTTTTGCTCCATATCTGTATACAGGTTGCAGTGATGGCTTCCCAAACTGTAAAAGTGTCCTGCATAAAGTTACTTTCGTAATGGCAAGTTAATCTTCTCGTCATTCTAGTACGTTTATGCTACAGTTGAAGACACTTATATGTTGACACGTTGAAGATGGACCAGACTCGCATTTTGTTGTTAAATAAAATAGTTGTATATCTTGTCAGGGCCATTTATCTTTTAGCAAACATGACTGAAATTATAGTCAAATCCTTGCAGCCTGAAAAGTTAAAATGATGTTGATAAATATAACTTCATACTTCATTTGGCCTTTGCAACCTTATTTGGGCATCACTGACAAGTCTTGTAGACGAAATGTGCATCTGGGGTACAAAATTTTAATCCTTGAATGAGTTTATTCATTAGAATGTTTGTTTTAATTTACTCTTCATGGCAGTAAATCAAAGATGTGAGCATTTAGAAAATCATAACAAATTTTATTGTTTTATTCAAGGTTGCTTGGGTACATGATTTGGATAATCTTATGTTTCAACATATGCATTAAATATTTATAGACCTTGACTACCATGAGGGTCATTTAAGGTAGATATGTTTCGGGACAACTCTACAAGTTCGTCTAAGAATCGTGTATATACTGATTTCAATGACTTGCCAACACAGTTCCAGCTCCAAGTTTGTCCAGGCTATGACAAGTTTGGCGTTTATAGCTGTGATAGTAAACTACCCTGTTCGCTATATCATGTGTCTTTCATATAGACAAGTGACACGTAAAGCATGGTGACATTTTTATAAGTTTTTAAAGGATTCAATAATGGCACATGGAACACTTTCACATTCAAATTATTTTTGTTTTAAACTTTCATTATATTAATATCCATAAAATGTACGTGTAGGCGTGATTACAATGTAAGTGTCCATAAGATTTCAATTTGCAAGGGCATTATTCCTGTAAAAAGTAGATAAGCACTGATTATCAAACTTGTTTTAGAGCTTGCTGGTTTAAATCTTGGATATAAAAAAATTAATGTCGTGAATTTGTATGCATGAAAGCTGCTCTTAGTCCCAACAAGATTTGACTGACCCCCAGTATGGCAAAAAAGCATAAAAAAATGTCTGAACTGTTCTGGCCTAATCTTTTGAAAAGATTTTAAGTATCCTTTCCATTAAATATATTTATAATTCAATGCCATGCAAAAAAAACTTGAAAATATTAAAGCAGGTTTTATGAAGTCTGAGACAGTTCTGAGTTGGTGTTATTCATATAAATTGTAAGGCTTGATTATTTCATTTTGGGTTTGATTTAATCATTTGATTAATGCAAGACCATTTCTTGGATCTGGTTAGACTAATTTTCAACCTTTGATGAGAAGATGAAGATTGCATTCATGATTTTTATTACGCGATGAAATAAGTGTCAGATGGCAATGTCTTAACAGTTCCAGCTCCAAGTTTGTCCAGACTATGACAAGTTTGGCGTTTATAGCTGTGATAGTAAATTGCCCTGTTCGCTATATCATGTGTCTTTTCAATAGACTAGTGACACGTAAAACTCGGCTACATTTGTATCAGTTTTAAATGATTCAATGACCAGGGGAACACTTGACTAGAATAAGAACAGTGGTCCAATGTCTCCCATCAATGCATATATTTTATATTTCGAAGGGCAATAATATAAGATCCAATATAAAGTAATATATTTGTGTTATAGATTTTTTTTCATAAATATCGTGCAAGTAGTATTTTCTTATATTTCCATTGTCCAACAGGCTTTCTCTCTTTTAAATATATTCTTTATAGGTGCTGATTATTGAACATGTTCAAGACCTTGCAGATTAAATTTTTCTTTTTAACCTGGCAAGAACTATACATGAGTGCACTTACAAGATCAGACCAATGTCAGTTATGGCAAAAGTCATAAAAAATGCCAGAACTTGCTTCCTCTGTACAAACTTATTCTTAAAAGATTGAATGAAGTACATTCATTAAAATTCATTGCCATGCAAAAAAAAAAACATTTTTAGTAATATAAATTAGGTTTTATAAATTTCAGATTTACTTTTTGAAAATTATACATTCTGTATCAGTCTTTACGCTTAACCACAAGTCCTACGGCCATGGCTTGTAAAATTGTTCTCTACAAGCCAACAGAAAACAACTAAAGTTTTGAAATAAAATTGAGTCCTGGGCTTGTGGACTCGAAAGTTTATCATGAAGGCTGCTGTATGGCTTGGCTAACTCATTTGATGTTAGTTGATGGCTTAGACCCGTCCTGAAAAAATATAGAGCCATATGGCATAGCATAAATTTTGCATTGTGACATTTAAATTAAACATTGCGTTGTGTTTATGTTGAATAGAATGTTGTCAATCTTAAATAACACAGTTCCAGCTCCAAGTTTGTCCAGACTATGACAAGTTTGGCGTTTATAGCTGTGATAGTAAACTGCCCTGTTCGCTATATCATGTGTCTTTTCAATAGACTAGTGACACGTAAAGCAGGGCGACATTTTATCAGTTATTTAATGATTCAGTGACTAGGACAACAAAAATATAAGGACGTAATTCCAATGTCTCCCATTGTTTTACATGCTTTATCTTTCAAAGGGCAATAACATTGATAAATTTTGTGTTTTTAACCTTTTCATGCAATTTCATTTTCTGATGGACTAATGTAAAACTAGGGTTATCAGCACTGATTTTTGAACTCTTCAAAGACATGATAATAATCTTTCTTTTTTATAATCTGGCAAGAATTGTACACGTAAGAAAACTTGCTTATCTGCAATAATTTATTCTGAAAAAAGTTGGAAGTACATTGTACATGTACCAATCTGATAAAATGTATCACATTTGAGTGCCCTGCAAAAGAAACTTGCATACATTTGTTTTTGGAAATTTAAATTCTGCAGGGCTTGACTCTTCTTTCTACATGTACAAACGTGTAGATGGCTAATTTATTTAATGCAACTTGATTGTATAGACCAGGCCAGAAATAAAAATCATCCCTGCTGAGAAGATGGACATTGCTTAAATTTTGCATTGTAAAGTTTTAATTAAACAGTGCATTGTGTTTACATTGTACTAATAAAATGTTGGCATTTATTTAACACAGTTCCAGCTCCAAGTTTGTCCAGACTATGACAAGTTTGGCGTTTATAGCTGTGAAAGTAAACTGCCATGTTCGCTATATCATGTGTCTTTCCAATAGACTAGTGACACGTAAAGCAGGGCAACATTTTGTCAGTTTAAATGATTCAATGACTAGGGGAACAAAAACCAAAAGAACAGTGCTTTGACGTCCCCTTTTGATGCACATGCATGTATTTTATTTGTCTAGGAGTGAACAGTCCTATTTTTTTATACGCCCGTTTACGGGACGTATTATGGTATACCGTTGTACGTCCGTCCGTCTGTCCCTCGTCAACATGTCGGACATTAACTCAAAAACACTTAAACCAATTTGCTTTAAACTTTGAATTGTTTATATCTATTGACGTGAGCTCTCTTTCGTATTTTATAAATTTTAGATTTTACGTTTCCGAGTTATAGGGTTTTATTCATTAAAAAAAGGGGGATTTTCCAGTTTTCGGACAATAACTCAAGAATGCTTTCACCAACTTGCAATAAATTTTGGTTAATTGTTTATATCTATTGACATGAGCTCCCTTTGGAATTTTATAAATTTTAGATTTTACATTTCCGAATTATGGGGTTTATTCATTAAAAAAGGGGGGATTTTCCAGTTTTCAGACAAAAACTCAAAAATGCTTTCAGCAATTTGTATGAAACTTTGGTGAGCTGTTTATATCTATTGATGTAAGCTCCCTTTAGAATTTTATAAATTTTATTTGTTTATAGTCTGACAACAGATTTACTAAGTATTGTGCAACAGCACAGTGTATTGCACAACAGCAAGAAATCTTAAATTGAATATAAATTCAATTCATATAACCAACTTCAAGTTCTTTGACTACATTTATTCAGAAACCTATAATAGATGTATGTCAAATATTTAATTACAATCCAAATTCAGACCTGTATCAAGCTTGAATATTGTGTCCATTTTTGCCCCAACTGTTCAGGGTTAGACCTCTGCGGGCGTATCCAGCTGCGCTCAGCGAAGCAGTTTATTTAAATTTAAATTTTACCTTATTCCTCAATATCCTAGTTGTGAGATAGTTGACAGGATGTTAAGCAACAATAATATATTTCCAAGGTGGATAACTTGGGGTGGGGGGGGGGGACTTGTTAAAGATATTGCTATAAGGTGTAAACCTGTGTTTAAACTTAATTAAAAAATCCTCAAAGAAATATAGGCTTGAGGGCTTACAATGCAATTTTCCACAATATTTCTGTGCAAGTACATTGTAGCATTACTCCAAAAAAATCAATTGATTGGCACTGATTTACTAACTTTCTGGACACATATTGTTGATCTAATTTTAATACAAATCTTGTAAGAATTGTACATACATGTACATGTAAGAACAGATAGATGTCAAGTATGAGAAAAAAAGCATGAACATGCCAGAACTAACCTACTGCACCAGCAAGTTCTGAAAAGATTGAGATAAAACAAGGACAATCTAACTATACATAAAATAACAAATATAGATTCCTATCTATTGGTGAAATCTTTTGACCCTTGGAAGCCTTTTGGTTAAAAATTGCTTGTCTGGTTGCTAGCTCATTTAAAACAGTTCCAGCTCCAAATTTGTGTTGTCAGTAACAAGTTTGGCGTTTCAAAGCTGTAAAAGTAACAACCCTTTTTGCTGTAAAATTGGTGTATCACCCAGACCACCAATATGGTAAACAGAGTGACACTTTTTGAAATATTTAAACTCGTGTTAAGAAATCTTGATGCTTTATAAATTTCAATAGCATTATTCATTTGCAGCAATAATAATTTCTGAATTTACAGTACAATAAATAGATATGGTCAACCATTGATTATTATCCCATTGTATGTACATGTGCTAATAGTACAGTTTTTGCCCCATATCTGCACATTAATTGCAGTGTTGGTTTCCTAAACTGTGAAAGAAACTTGTATGAGGTTATATTGTATGGCAAGTTCATCATCTCGCCATTCACAAAGCTTTTATACTACAAATGTTTAAAAAATGTTGAGCAATCATCAACTTATCAAAATGTTGAGCTGTTTAAATTAGAATGGATTTAACAAGTAATTTTTGTCTCCCTTGCTTACCTAATGAACAAAATTACATTTTTAATTTATAATGAATTAATTAGTTTACGAGTTACATGTAGTAAATATGCTTTAGAATTGTGTATTTTGAATAACACAGCTCCAGCTCCAAGTTTGTCTAGTCCATGACATGTTTGGCGTTTTAAGCTGTTACATCAACTGCTTTGTTTGCTATATCACTGGTCTGTCATGTAGACCAGTAACATGTAAAGCAGAGCTACATCTTACAAAAGAACAATGCTGCTGAAAGTATTTGTGCAATTTTTATAATCTTTTTGGTTGTATTGATGACATCTTTGATTGAAGATGGCAGGAACAATCTCATTCTCCTTATTGCCAATTTTGACAAGTCAATAAAAGTTCCTTTAAATGTTAATTTATTAGTCACCAAAAATTTGCAAGTCTGATTAGTTGGCTAGCCCAGTCTTCATGATAAACTTTTGAATCTACAGGCCTGAAGCTGAATTCTACGAAAATTTTAGATAAGATTCTATTGGCTTGTAGAGTTGATTTTAACAGGCCTGATAGCATTTTTACAAGCCTGGGCTGGTTGGCCTGTGGTTGAGCGGGAAGACTGCTAGCCAAATTTTCTTTAATAGACGGTGAAAATGAATCTACATATAACAATACATGTACATGTATGTAAATCCTATGTGATTCTGTTATATTTTGCTGCTCTGTTTATAGTTTTGTTAGTTCTCATCAGTTCGAATTTTACTTCTTCTTTTCAGTAAAATTTCTCGTGACAACTTGTACGAGGCCATTGCCACCGTTCTGAAAGATTCAACAGATAAGAAGAGGAAATTTACGCAGTCTATAGAGCTCCAGATTGCTTTGAAGAATTATGATCCTCAAAAGGACAAGCGTTTCTCTGGCACAGTCAAGTAGGTTATCATGACCTTTCCAGGAAAATCTGAAAAGCCAGCAACACTTGTCAAACACCTTTTTGTTTTCCTATGTAAAGAAAGGGGGGCGGGATAAACAAGACAAGTGTAGAAAATGTAAGAATTTTTAGATCACTTGGAACTTTACATTTGAATGGAACATTCAAGTATTTTAAAGTAACAACTGCAAAAAAAATATGTTAAAAGAAAAACTTGATGGTGTTGTTGGCATCCTGGCATAGGTAGCTGGGAAACTTCCCAGCGGACCTCCACCCAGGGTCTTAAAATAATTGGGAAGGTATACATTGTTTGCACAAACAATGGTACCAGAAAGTTAAGTAAAGCCAGAGATCAGTGATTCTTCAACAGAAACAGTTCTGCTGGTGGTAAGAATTTGTTAGCAGTATTGTTACAAATTGTGTCACTAAAAGATGAGGGAATATGTAAACCCAAATTTGAAATCTTGTAAGGTGTTTTCCCCACAACTTTCATGTATAGCATACTGTGAGATGGAATTTGAAATATTTTGTTTCTAGAAGTTATATCAGGACATTCATAGAAAATAGATAAGTTGTATTCAGAAAGCATCGCATTACCATGATGTTAAAAAGCCCTGTGGAAAACACACATTTAATGTTTGTTCCATTTTTGTAGGCATATGTCATTAAATACATGTTTGCTGTGTATATGAAAACGAGGGAATTACTATGTGTACTTACTAGATAGGCCAAGTTCATGCAATATTCCATGTTTTATTTAGGAAGAAGTAACATGTTAAAGTTTCCTTGTTTAGAATTTACATGTAGATCAAATAGGTAGATATGTAACAATGCAGAAAAACAACGTCTTTTATAGATATAAGAAGATGTGGTACGAATGCCAATGAGACAACTCTCCATCCAAGTCAAAATTTATGAAAGTAAACCATTATAGGTCAAGGTTTTATGTACTGTTCAAATGCAATTCTTTCTCGTTTGTAGATACGAAATTCATTGTATGTCAATAAAGTTGTTGTTGAAAAGGTAATTTTAAATGTTTACAGACTAAAGCACATTCCAAGACCAAAGATGAAGATCTGTATTTTGGGTGACCAAGTGCATTGTGATCAGGCCAAAGCTAATGATCTCCCCAGTATGGATACTGATTCCTTGAAAAAGTTGAACAAGGACAAAAAGCTTGTTAAAAAATTAGGTACTTGTAAATAGTTTATATTATATATGAATGCAAAATTTTAAAAAAGACTTATTTTTGTCTTTAAAATGCTAGTAAAAGGAGATGTTGGGTATATAGCAATTAAACAGCATAAGGCCAAGTAAATTTAATAAGTAGATTTTCATCCAAATTTTTGAAAAAAATGGGGTGGGTGGGAGGATTTTATTTTTATACGACCGCAAAAAAATTTTTGTGGTCGTATATTGGTATGACGTTGGCGTCGTCGTCGTCGTCCGAAGACACATTGGTTTTCGCACTCTAACTTTAGTTTAAGTGAATGGATCTTTATGAAATTTTACCACAAGGTTCAATACCACAAAAGGAAGGTTGGGATTGATTTTGGGGGTTATGGTAATAACAGTAAAGGAATTAGGGGCCAAAAAGGGGCCAAAAATAAGCATTTTTGTAACTTCCAGACATAACTTGTGTGTTAGTGTATGGATCTCTCTGACATTGTACCACAAGGTTCCATATCACTAAAGGAATGCTGGGATTGATTTTGGGGGTAATTGCCTCCAAATTTTAGGAATTAGGGGCCAAAAAAGGGGCAAAAAACAAGCATTTTTCTAGTTTCATGACAATAACTTGTGTGTAAGTGTATGGATCTTTCTGAAATTGTACTACAAGGTTCCATATCACAAAGGGAAAGCTGGGTTTGAGTTTGGGGGTAATTGCCCTAAACGTTTAGGAATTTGGGGCCAAAAAGGGGCCAAAAAACACATTTTTTTCTAGTTTCCAGACAATAACTTGTGTTCAAGTGTATGGATCTCTCTGAAATTGTACTGCAAGGTACCATACCACAAAGGGAAGGCTGGGATTGAGTTTGGGGGTGATGAATCATAATGGGGGTTCAAAAAATTTTGGGGGGGGATTTATTTTTTTTTCCTTTTTTTTTCTTTTTTTCTTTTTTTGTTTCTTTTAAAATTTTCCATTTTAAGTTGGTTATTTCTGATTTATATTTAAAATCAAATAATAATGATATGGTAGGAGATACACACCAAACAGGATGTGTAAATTATTATATAATAAGTATTGTGCAATAGCAAGAAATTTTCAATTGCACAGTATTGCACAATAGCAAGAAATCTTCAATTGCACAGTATTGCGCAATAGCAAGAAATCTTCAATTGCACAGTATTGCGCAATAGCAAGAAATATCCAATAGCACAATATTGCGCAATAGCAAGAAATTGTCAATTGTACAGTATTGCGCAATAGCAAGAAATATTTAATAGCACAGGATTGTGCAAAAGAAGATACTTCCTATAAATTGCTTATTTCTTGACCAATTTCAATGGGGTTTTATTCTTGATTCAATGGGGTTCTTTAATATGCTGAATCTAACCGTGTATTTAGTTTTTGGATTTTGGGCCCTGTTTTTAAATTGGTCCACATTGAGGTCCAAAGGGTCCAAAATTAAACTTTGTTTGATTTCATCAAAAATTGAATTATTGGGGTTCTTTGATATGCCGAATCTAACTGTGTATTTAGATTCTTAAATTTTGGTTCCGTTTTCAAATTGGTCTACATTAAGGTCCAAAGGGTCCAAAATTAAACTTAGTTTGATTTTAACAAAAATTGAATTCTTAGGGTTCTTTGATATGCTGAATCTAAACATGTATTTAGATTTTTGATTATGGGCCCAGTTTTCAAGTTGGTCCAAATCGGGGTCCAAAATTAAACTTTGTTTGATTTCAACAAAAATTGAATATATGGGGTTCTTTGATATGCTGAATCTAACCATGTATTTAGATTTTTGATTTTTGGGCCCCGTTATCAACTTTGTCCACATTGAGGTCAAAAGGGTCCAAAATTAAACTTTGTTTGATTTCATCAAAAATTGAATTATTGGGGTTCTTTGATATGCCGAATCTAACCGTGTATTTAGATTCTTAATTTTTGGTTCCGTTTTCAAATTGGTCTACATTAAGGTCCAAAGGGTCCAAAATTAAACTTAGTTTGATTTTAACAAAAATTGAATTCTTAGGGTTCTTTGATATGCTGAATCTAAACATGTATTTAGATTTTTGATTATGGGCCCAGTTTTCAAGTTGGTCCAAATCGGGGTCCAAAATTTAACTTTGTTTGATTTCAACAAAAATTGAATATATGGGGTTCTTTGATATGCTGAATCTAACCATGTATTTAGATTTTTGATTTTTGGGCCCCGTTATTAACTTTGTCCACATTGAGGTCAAAAGGGTCCAAAATTAAAATTTGTTTGATTTCATCAAAAATTGAATTATTGGGGTTCTTTGATATGCCGAATCTAACCGTTTATTTAGATTCTTAATTTTTGGTTCCGTTTTCAAATTGGTCTACATTAAGGTCCAAAGGGTCCAAAATTAAACTTAGTTTGATTTTAACAAAAATTGAATTCTTAGGGTTCTTTGATATGCTGAATCTAAACATGTATTTAGATTTTTGATTATGGGCCCAGTTTTCAAGTTGGTCCAAATCGGGGTCCAAAATTAAACTTTGTTTGATTTCAACAAAAATTGAATATATGGGGTTCTTTGATATGCTGAATCTAACCATGTATTTAGATTTTTGATTTTTGGGCCCCGTTATCAACTTTGTCCACATTGAGGTCAAAAGGGTCCAAAATTAAACTTTGTTTGATTTCATCAAAAATTGAATTATTGGGGTTCTTTGATATGCCGAATCTAACCGTGTATTTAGATTCTTAATTTTTGGTTCCGTTTTCAAATTGGTCTACATTAAGGTCCAAAGGGTCCAAAATTAAACTTAGTTTGATTTTAACAAAAATTGAATTCTTAGGGTTCTTTGATATGCTGAATCTAAACATGTATTTAGATTTTTGATTATGGGCCCAGTTTTCAAGTTGGTCCAAATCGGGGTCCAAAATTAAACTTTGTTTGATTTCAACAAAAATTGAATATATGGGGTTCTTTGATATGCTGAATCTAACCATGTATTTAGATTTTTGATTTTTGGGCCCCGTTATCAACTTTGTCCACATTGAGGTCAAAAGGGTCCAAAATTAAACTTTGTTTGATTTCATCAAAAATTGAATTCTTGGGGTTCTTTGATATGCTGAATCTAACCATGTATTTAGATTTTGGATATTGGACCATAATAGGTGAATGTGCAATTTAAAATTTTTAAGTTCTTAGACCACATTCAATCTGTGTTAGAAACCTATGCTGTGTCAAATATTTAATCACAATCCAAATGCAAAGCTGTATCAAGCTTGAATGTTGTGTCCATACTTGCCCCAACTGTTCAGGGTTCGACCTCTGCGGTCGTATCAAGCTGCGCCCTGCGGAGCATTTTATTTATTTTTTATTAGATATGAAACGCTCTTGTGACGTGTTCTTCATATATTGAAGTTGATAATAAGGTTCTATCATGTATATACATGTACATGTATAACGAATCAAACATACAAAGAAATGCAAAAACCAAAATTTGAAACAGGATGTTATTAATGAAACGAAATTATCGACAGTTACCGGTAACGAAAATGAACAAAATCCGGAAATCGTAAATTTTTCAAAATAAAAAAAATTGGGGCGGAACGATTTCAGAGGGGCGGGCGGGGATGAAAATCTATCAATTAATTTTAATTGGCCTAACAGCGACACCAATTATCAAAAGACGTCAAATGGATTGGTGTATATTGTTGAATGTTGCAGAATCCTGGAAGAAGAAAATGTAGACTATCAAAATAATTACCTGCTACAATTTATTGAGGGTTTACAACCATGGAAGTGTCATTGCAATATTTATAATAGTTTTCATACGCCCGTTTATGGGACGTATTATGGTATACCATTGACCGTCCGTTGTCAACATGTCGGACATTAACTCATAAACGCTGTAACCAATATGCATGAAACTTTGGTGAATTGTTTATATCTATTGACGTGAGCTCCCTTTTGTTTTTCTTTAAATTTCAGATTTACCATTTCTGAGTTTTGGGGTTTTATTCATTAAAAAAGGGGAGGATTTTCCTGTTTTCCGACAATTACTCAAGAATGCTTTCACCAACTTGCAAGAAATTTTGATGAATTGTTTATATCTATTGACATGAGCTCCCTTTCGTTTTTTATAAATTTTAGATTTTATGTTTCCGAGTTACAGGATTTTATTCATAAAAAAGGATGATATTCCAATTCTTGGACAATAACTAAAAAATGCTTTCAGCAGTTCTCATGGTACTTTGGTGAATTGTTTACATCTGTTGGTGTAAGCTCCCTTTAGAATTTTATAAATTTTAGATTTTACATTTCTGAGTTATGGGGTTTTATTCATTAAAAAATTTGTAAGGGTTCCGCGGAACCCAGTGTCTCGCCTACTTTTTCTGTTAATTGCAGGCGCAACAAAAATGAGGAAGTAAATCAATAAAAATATTCCTTTTGATACTATATTTTGATTGTAAGAAGCTTCTGTCCAAGTTTGGTAAAAACCCAGGATAGTTTATGAATCTAATAAATGTTTAAAAACTTTAACTGCAGACTGAATGTAATGTTAACTGGAAGAAAACAAAATTTCCTTCTAGATACTAGCATTTGATCATAAACAAGCTTCTGTCCAAGTTTGGTACAAATCCAAAATAGTATAAGAAAGTTATTAAAATTTTAAAAACTTTAACCACAGAGTGAATGTGTTGTTTCCTTGCAGAAAATCTAAGTCCATTTCAAAGTAAAATAAGGAAAAAATGGATTTTTTTTTTTACAAAATTTACTTCTGGATACTATCTTATGATCATAAACAAGCTTCTGTCCAAGTTTGGTAGAAACCCAGGATAGTTTAAGAAAGTTATTAAAATTTTAAAAACTTTAACCACACAGTGAATATTTGTGGACGACGCCGACGGAATGTAGGATCGCTATGTCTCGCTTTTTCGACTAAAGTCGAAGGCTCGACAAAAAGGGGGGATTTTCCAGTTTTTGGACAATAACTCAAAAAATGCTTTCAGCAGTTCTCATGAAACTTTGGTGAATTGTTTATAATAGCTATTGATGTAATCTCCCTATTGATTTTCATAAATTTCAAATATGACATTGAGAAGAAATTGAACTTTATTTGTTTATAGCCTGACAACAGATTTACTAAGTATTGCCCAACAGCAAGAAATCTTTAATTGAATATAAATTCAATTCATATAACCAATTTCAAGTTCTGACTACATTTATTCAGAAACCTATAATATGTCAAATATTTAATTGCAATCCAAATTCAGACCTGTATCAAGCTTGAATATTGTGTCCATTTTTGCCCCAACTGTTCAGGGTTGGACCTCTGCGGGCGTATCCAGCTGCGCTCAGCGAAGCAGTTTATTCATTTCTGAATGGACTAAAGTAGCAAAAACAAATAACTGCAGATCCAATTTTTTCTGCTTTTCTTAAGATCAAACCTGGTTAGGCTTGCATATAACATTAAACTGGTGAAGTTTTCATTTTTTTCTGTTCAAATATGTACCAGAGCTCAGTGATTTGCCGATGGTTCACTAAGTACACTAAAGTCTCTCTTAAAACATATTTGACACACAACTACTAAATCAGTGAGAAGGTAGTCACCATTTGATAATATGTACCAAAGCATGAAATTCTCTGTTTTGTAGCAGTGGGAAGGTAGTCACCATTTGATAATATGTAACAAAGCATGAAATTCTCTGTTTTGTTTTGTAGCTAAGAGATATGATGGTTTTTTGGCTTCTGACTCGATCATCAAGACCATCCCAAGGCTGTTGGGTCCTGGATTGAACAAGGCAGGAAAGTTTCCCATCCAGGTCTCTCATAATGAATCCTTGGTCACAAAGTGTGAGGAACAGAAAGCAACCATCAAGTTTCAGTTGAAAAAGGTGAGTTTGTTGTAAAGGTAAAAATCCAGATTTGGTAAAATTTAGGATTGGATTTACCTGAATTTCCTGAAAAATTAACTTGTATGCATATAGCTAGTAAATATTAAATATAGACATTTTTATGCCCCCTGTGCGGTGTAGGGGGCATTCTTAAGTTTTGCCCTTGTGCGTCTGTCCGTACTTCCAAATTAGTTTCCGTTCTGCAACTTCTTTGCCACAACCAAATATTCTGAAATATACACAATGCTGAATACCACCAAACACAGATCAAATTTGAATATGTGTGGCTTCACTTTTGTTGCTTGAACAACGTTGTGTTCCTCTATAAATGGAATAAATGGAAAATTTGCAGTTTCAGCACTTTTATTTTACTTTACTTTGCCACAACCAAATGTTCTGAAACATATATACAATTTTTAAAACTAAAATTAACCAAATCACAACCAGTGATAAATATCAATTGAAAAACAACATACGATACAAAGGGCCATCAAGATACTTTGATTTACCATAGAAATTGGAAGAAACCAACAAGGGATTAATCAATTTTTTCTATCCACTATAAATTAAATCTGTTGTTGATTATGCTGCAACTTCTTGAATTAGCTTTTACTTTTAATTTTCAGGTACTCTGTCTGGCTGTTTGCGTAGGACATGTCAACATGACCCCAGATGAACTCTATTCAAATATTTCTCTGTCCATCAATTTCTTGGTGTCCCTCCTGAAGAAGAACTGGCAGAACGTCCGAGCCCTCTACATCAAGGGTACAATGACACCTTCTCAAAGAATTTACTAAGAAGAATGATGGACTAAATCTTACTGTTGAGACGTTTTAATAATTAAAATGTGCTCAACATGTTTCTGTTGTCTTGTCGTTTTTCATATGAATTTGCAATGTGATGAAAAAAATCCTGTTAATGGATAGTACAACATGCCATAAAAATGTATTTATATAAAATCATTATGATGGGAATGACTCAATTTTTTTTTTTTTTTTTTTGTAGCATGGTTGATTTTACATAAAACAGTACGAAAATCTTTGTTGTAGAATAGTGGGTAAAAATTAATGAATGGCAAGACCATTATACAGTCTGCACCATTAGCCACTAGTCCTATGCCCCAGACTAGTAAATATTGATTCGGACGTGAAAATTTTCAAAATTTTATATATTCATATAGGGACAAGTTTAGATATTTACTTTCCATACTAGTAGATGAAAAAGTTTTTGGCGCAAACTGATTATATATCTTCAGCAATATTTTGTTTGATTTCAAATTGATAATGGATGATGGCCGTTTAATGTCCAGTGACAAATTGAAAGCATAGAGCGAGGACATTGCTTTGTACTAGACTCGCTTGCTGCTACTTTACCAGATTTGTCAGAAGAAAGACTATTACCCTACCAGTCTGCCCTAACTCTTTTTCTGCTTGGGGAAGAAGATGCAAATTTAAAGTCTAGTTTGAGTTGGCTATAAACTGAGTCCATAAAAATGCAACACAATATGCCTGCATTTTCCATTCAATAATAAGTCTGACGAAGTTATTTGCCAGTGGACCAATCTTAAGATTTGAAGGCTTCTTCAGGTATGTATGCTGATCAATTCCTGTATTTTTGGAGGGCTTTCAATGAGATTCAATCAATTGCAGATTTCTTTAAACAAGAGAAATCCAGATATAAAACTTATAATGATTGTTGAGTTTCAATCATAATGAACCTCTTGAGAAACAGTTGTATTTAAATTAAAATGGTTATCAAACTAATGTGGCTGACGGCATATATGAAATTGTTTGAGTTCGCTTGTATCCAAAAGGTTGGGAGAATTCAGAAATTTTTTCATGCATCTGTTCTTGCAATTTTAGAAAATGCGGTTATCAAAATTAAAACCAAGTTCTTATTTTTGCATAAAAACATTGAACAAATTCCTTGAGTTGCAGTTATCTTCTATGCAAGGCCGAACAATAGGTGAATTGCATGCACCATTATCAGGATGCTGGAAAGTTCGAACCAACGAAAACAAAGATGTGGTCTACTTCATGACTGGATTCATTATCAGGACACATAACAAAAAAATTTAATAACTTTTTCCCATGTGTTCCTGTTGAGGTACTTGAATGTCGATCAATAGTCCATTAAGACCGTCAGCAGAGTTCAGTTTACATTGAAACCCTGTAGGACATTCCATTTTGCATTTAAAGAACAGGATGTACGTTTTAGTACATTATAAATCAAATATGAGAATTTGAGTCGAATCGGTGAACATGAAGTTGACAACAAATGCCCCTTGAAGAAGGCCTTTAATTAAACATCGTAATTTTCCAGTTTATTTATCAAACTCACTAATAAAAAAAAATCGACAGGAACTATCTTTCATAAGGCATCGGCCTCCAAAACAATGTGTAGCACAGGTCTAAAAGCACTAAATCTACAAAATGTATACACTTAAAATATAGCTCCCTATATTTATCATGTCTACAGTAACAGTACATGGGCACATATGAACTGAAAAATTTGGGTTATATCTTTGTAGCAGTTCATTTAAGTATTAATTACACCTTATGTAAGAATCCTTGGTTTTGATTGGATGATAGCCAGTGTATTTTTCACCAATTTACTTTTATCAAATGAATATCGTTCATTTTTATACGACCGCAAAAATTAAAAATTTTTTGGTCGTATATTGGTATGACGTTGGCGTCGTCCGAAGACACATTGGTTTTCGCACTCTAACTTTAGTTTAAGTGAATGGATCTCCATGAAATTTTAAAATAAGGTTCAATACCACAAAAGGAAGGTTGGGATTGATTTTGGGGGTTATGGTACCAACAGTTGAGGAATTGGGGGCCAAAAATAAGCATTTTTGTAACTTCCAGACAATAACTTGTGTGTAAGTGTATGGATCTCTCTGACATTGTACCACAAGGTTCCATATCACAAAGGGAAGGCTGTAATTGAATTTTGGGGGTAATTGCCTCAAAATTTTAGGAATTAGGGGCCAAAAAAGGGGCAAAAAACAAGCATTTTTCTAGTTTCATGACAATAACTTGTGTGTAAGTGTTTGGATATTTCTGAATTTGTACTACAAGGTTCCATATCACAAAGGGAAAGCTGGAATTGAGTTTGGGGGTAATTGCCATAAACGTTTAGGAATGGGGGGGCCAAAAATAAGCATTTTTCTAGTTTCCAGACAATAACTTGTGTTCAAGTGTACGGATCTCTCTGAAATTGTACTGCAAGGTACCATACCACAAAGGGAAGGCTGGGATGGAGTTTGGGGGTGATGAATCATAAGGGGGTTCAAAAAATTTGGGGGGGGGGGATTTTTTTTTTTTTCTTTTAAAATTTTCCATTTTAAGTTGGTTATTTCTGATTAATATTTAAAAGCAAATAATAATGATATGGTAGGAGATACACACCAAACAGGATGTGTAAATTATTATATAATAAGTATTGTGCAATTGCACAGTATTGCACAATAGCAAGAAATCTTCAATTGCACAGTATTGCGCAATAGCAAGAAATCTTCAATTGCACAGTATTGCACAATAGCAAGAAATATCCAATAGCACAATATTGCGCAATAGCAAGAAATTGTCAATTGTACAGTATTGCGCAATAGCAAGAAATATTCAATTGCACAGTATTGTGCAAAAGAAGATACTTCGTATAAATTGCTTATTTCTTGATCAATTTCAATGGGGTTTTATTCTTGAATTCTTGGGGTTCTTTAATATGCTGAATCTAACCGTGTATTAAGTTTTTGGATTTTGGGCCCCGTTTTTAAATTGGTCCACATTGAGGTCCAAAGGGTCCAAAATTTAACTTTGTTTGATTTCATAAGAAATTTAATTATTGGGGTTCTTTGATATGCCGAATCTAACCGTGTATTTAGATTCTTAATTTTTGGTTCCGTTTTCAAATTGGTCTACATTAAGGTCCAAAGGGTCAAAAATTAAACTTAGTTTGATTTTAACAAAAATTGAATTTTTAGGGTTCTTTGATATGCTGAATCTAAACATGTATTTAGATTTTTGATAATTGGTCCAAATCGGGGTCCAAAATTAAACTTTGTTTGATTTCAACAAAAATTGAATTTTTAGGGTTCTATGATATGCTGAATCTAAACATGTATTTAGATTTTTGATTATGGGCCCAGTTTTCAAGTTGGTCCAAATCGGGGTCCAAAATTAAACTTTGTTTGATTTCAACAAAAATTGAATATATGGGGTTCTTTGATATGCTGAATTTAACCATGTATTTAGATTTTTGATTTTTGGGCCCGTTATCAACTTTGTCCACATTAAGGTCAAAAGGGTCCAAAATTAAACTTTGTTTGATTTCATCAAAAATTGAATTCTTGGGGTTCTTTGATATGCTGAATCTAACCATGTATTTAGATTTTGGATATTGGACCATAATAGGTGAATGTCCAATTTAAAATTTTTAAGTTCTTAGACCACATTCATTCTGTGTCAGAAACCTATGCTGTGTCAAATATTTAATCACAATCCAAATTCAGAGCTGTATCAAGCTTGAATGTTGTGTCCATACTTGCCCCAACTGTTCAGGGTTCGACCTCTGCGGTCGTATCAAGCTGCGCCCTGCGGAGCATTTTATTTAAACAGCGCCGGGGTATATGCAAAAAGGATATGCCTTTTTTACCCTCTCTGCCGTGGTATTTGCCAAAAAATACTCTATCCGACTGGACGCTTGTAATGTCACGATCATCAAAGCGTTTTATGTCACGACCATCAATGCGTTTTGTACGTTAACATTCGGTGTAATTAAACAGATATAGCATGTTCTTGAGGGGTATTTGCGAAAAATACCAGTCTTGAGAATGAATTTCCCTCGCCTTACGGCTCGCGAAATTTAACATTCTCTCGACTGGTATTTTTCGCAAATACCCCTCCTTAACATGATATAATTGTTCAGTATGTCTTAAGTTCTGTCAATTTGCAGGCCATTTTGTCATATTAATTGGGTAAGAATAAGTAACGATACAATACCAGTATGACTGACAACTGCCATGATCACCAAACTACAGAGACAAAGTGGGGCCTTAATTCCAATGTCCCAACTTTAAATACCCATCATATTGACCAAATTACTAATCAACCTCAGTCTTACATAATTAAACAGACCCTTCATTATACATCTCAATACACAAATACTTGACCATTATATTGAATACACAAATGTATATATTAGATGTTTGATATATAAAAATGATAAGATTCATTGCCTATTACATTTGATCTACATTACATAAAGTGATTCTTTAAATTATGTCTGAAAGAAATGATTTAAGATTAACAAGATCTTTGTATGCCCCCGCCGTAGCGGAGGGAGCATTAAGTTTTACCCTTGTCTGTCCGTCCGTACGTCCCAAAATTGGTTTCCATTTTCTAACTTGAGTTTGCCTCAACCAAATGTTATGAAACTTATACACAATGCTTATTACCACAAAACACAGATCAAGTTTGAATTTTGGTGGCTTCACTTTAACCGTTCTAGAGTTATGCCCCTTTATAAATGGAAAAATTGCAAAATTTTTATTTTCTTCTAAATATCAAGTTATTTTTATACGACCGCAAAAAAAATTGCGGTCGTATATTGGTATGACGTTGGCGTCGTCGTCGTCCGGAGACACATTGGTTTTCGCACTCTAACTTTAGTTTAAGTGAATGGATCTCTATGAAATTTTACCATAAGATTCAATACCACAAAAGGAAGGTTGGGATTGATTTTGGGGTTATGGTACCAACAGTTGAGAAAAAAGGGGCCAAAAATAAGCATTTTTGTAACTTCCAGACATAACTTGTGTGTTAGTGTATGGATCTCTCTGACATTGTACCA